TTCATTCCACAGGCTGTGATTGATGCCGCAAATAGGAAGTAAAATCTACTCATTCTGAGTCAGTAAGTGATCTCCGAAAGGTAGTACAGTTAAGACAGCGTTGTCTGGATCTCAAATGGTGCAGTATTTAGAAGATTTGTGTTTGTGCTAGTGCCCAACAAATATTTGATTAATGCAAATAGTCGCATATAAGGTTGAAAGGTGGTCTTTTAAATCTCATCCCTCTTCAGAAACACCTGGTGTGATTCTTGATAAACCAAAACCGAAATGGATCTTAATGCATGGCCATAATAATATCAAGACTATTTAATAATACAATAATAACAGTTTTATTCCAAACGGTATTTGTGGTACAGGTATGGAATTTTCAGCGTGCATTACAAAATATTGCATCTAATTACTCATAAATTTTATAAGACTTTTAAAATCAAAAGATAAATAAAAAATAAATTAAATAATAAATAAATAAAATAAATAAAAATAAAAAACAGCTTAGAGTTTACATTTCAAAAATGCACCACAGGATATGAAATATAAAGTGAATGTATGATAGAGGACGAGAACAAACAGTGTAATATTAACGAGGAAAGGAAAACAAAAACTAATGGGACTATTTGTTAGAGTGCCGCAATAAGTTTATCGTGTCATACCTAACAGATTTCTCATTACATAACAGCTGTGCCAAATATGGTGTCAATGCAGTTGAAGATTGAACGATCAATTCATGGTTGTTTGCTCGAACCCAACTTCCCTATATTTTCGCGGAGACATCGATACACCAGTCATCGTCTCATCGGTCGCTGTTCAGAAAGAAGTCAGACCAAAACTCTCAGAAACCTTATTTAAAACTTAATTTTAAAACTGCCTATATGTTGGTGTTACAATAAAGAATTCTTGAGTAGCCAATCGGTATTTTGGTTTTGCGTCCGTTATTACTAAGCGTTTCTGAGAAACTTCAAGGAACAGCGTGAGTCCCAGTGTAGCAAGAGCTGGGCATTGACGGTTTACGAGACGTGGTTGACACAAGACGTCGGCACACTTCTTAAGGATAACAGCAGGAACACCATCAGGACCAAGGGAATGAGTAGGTTTGAGAGATTGAAGACGCTTGAGGACATCATTCGTGTTAGAGCATGGGAAGCAGTCCTTTTTTACACTATTTGAGTTAAGAATCTTTACATTTGCTGGAATACATATGAAGGACTCATTAAGCATGTTAACATCTACAGAAATATCATTCATCATTTGCTTACCACCTGTGATTTCCTTTAATCACTTCCACATATTTGATGAGGATTTACATGAAAGAAGCCTTTGGTTATAGAGAGCATTCAATCTTTGTAATTCAAGCTTGATCAAAGTGTTCATTCTCTTAACACCAAATTTATTTTTCATTTTGAACAACCTTTCTTTTTCACGGCGGAGCTTTTTGAGTTGAGAAGAGGAGAAGCGATCGAATTTTAAGAAGATTGTCTCTTTTGGACAACAAACATCAAGACGGAAATTAAGATAATGTGTTATGTTGGTAATTGTGTTATCAAGAGCTTGTTCAGTAGATAAATCTCAGTCAGTGTCTTTTAACATGGACCTTAGATTCAGTATGTTGTCATGGGAATAACATCTGTGTTGTGTTTTCTTTCCAAGGTGTGAGAAGACCCTTTTGTGCTGCTTTCCATATACTTTGGGCAATATTCTTATGATACAGTGATCTGAATTTAGTAGTGGGGCTCTTTTTCGAGCTTCAAATATTTCTGTGTCATTTGTAAACACAAGATATAGAGTGTTATCCATTCTAGTCGGGAAGTTGACAATGTTATCGTATCCAAGTGAAATCAGGAAGCTGTGATCACTAGAATTGAAATCACCAGTAACTATAGACAAGGAATTTCCGGAGGAGGTGGCAGCAAGGGAGGTAAATTCATCCGCAAATAAAGACAGTTCCGTGGAATTGCATCCAGGAGCAATATAAATGTTCGAGATGTAAATGCAGGTCGACGCTTAACGGTGAGACAGTCAATATTGTCACTAGAGAATTTGAAACATATATTATTAGACGTACACCATTGTGAATTGATGAAGATGGCGACACCGCCACCGCGTTTCTTTCTGGAACTACACCGATCTTGTCGGTAGAATTTGAAATCTTTTAGATTTACTAGATTGTCATCATATAGATCGTGTAACCATGTTTCTTGAAGTGATATAATCCCAGTATTACGATATATAATGGACGACACCAGCGATTGAAGGCAGTTAATTTTAGCCGGCAGGGAGCGACAGTTTGTAATTGCGGGAACAGTCATGAATTGAATAGGGGTATTTTTTAATGCTCTCTGCCAGCCGGCATGATGCTTTTTCTTGTCTTTTTTATGGAGTTGCATATCAGTGGGTTTTAAGGATATTAAAAATTCACCAGAATAAATAATCCGATTAGAGGTCATTATTTGAATAAGATTTGTTGGTTAAAAATCAATTAGAAATGAGAAATTAGATGCAATATGATTAGTAATGTTTAAGGTAATTGGTAGCCCAAGATTTAAGCAGGCCGCCAAGGTCAAGGTTGCTTAACTCACTGGTAATTTACAAAGCCCTTGTATTCCACTTTTATTCTATGTAGTTACCACAAAGAACTATTTCGTTTTCATCGACGTTTCTGGATAGTCAAGATTTCCTAAGATCACTGGTATAAGTGTGTGTTTGAAAAAGAATCTTCTTCCCTGTTTTCTTACATGAAAAGTCGTCAGTTTCAGTACAATAGGTCTAGTAGTGTTGATTAGTAATGGTATATTAACTGAAAGCAGAAAGATTTCCGCTTTCATTAACTGATGGGGAGGTCGTTTCTCTCTAAACTATATTATAGTGTAACAGTCCCTTTCTCTTGCGTTAGGCTAGCAACCCCACTCTGTAAACTAAGTCGTTACAAAAACTTCAGTCCGATGAATCTCCTTGCGCCAAAAGAAAAAGTCTGTGTGGGGACATGGAATGTCCGAACTATGTACGAGATTGGCAGAGCTACCCAGATCGCAAACGAAATGAAACGATACGGAATTCAAGTAAGCAGATGGAATAGGAATGGACTCACCAAATTGCCAACGGGTGAGTCAGTGATCTTCTCCGGTCACCCAGAAGATAACCACACGCACACCAAGGGCGTGGCTATCATGATGTCACCAACGGCAACGAAGGCGCTGATGCAATGGTAGGCGATCTCGTCCAGGATAATGACCGCCAGATTCAACTCCAAAGAAAGGAAAGTGTCAATTATACAATGTTATGCACCCACAAACAACGCAGACCTCGAAAAGAAAGAAGAATTCTACAGACAACTACAGGCAACAATGGACAATACTCCAGCTGGCGACATGAAAATACTAATGGGAGACATGAACGCCAAACTGGGACCAGACAACACAGGAAGGGAACTCATCATGGGTAGGGAAGCTCTCGGAGAAATGAATGAAAATGGAAAACTCTTCGCCGACTTCTGCGCCTCCAACGAACTAGTTATTGGTGGCAGCGTATACAAACACAAAGATATCCACAAGGCTACATGCGTGTCACCAGATGGGCAAACCAAAAACCAAATTGACTTCATCTCAATGCTGCTCAAGGAAGTGGAGGCGCAGCCTACTGGACACAAAAGCATGAAGAGGAGCAGACGTTGGCTCAGACCACTATCTCATACAAGGGACAATCCAAATCAAATTAAAAGCTTTCAGGGAATCAGGAGCTGCAGATAGACCACAAGCCAAGTTCAACACTCAAAAGCTGAAGGACCAGGATACAAAGGACATCTTCATTGCAAACATAAGGGAAAAAGCCGAGACACAAATCAACACTGGCGAAGACGTCGGCGTCGAAAAGCACTGGAACAACTTGAAAACGGTGTGGAGCCAAACCTGCATGGAAGTTCTAGGCAGAAAGAAGAGACAGGACAAACAGTGGCTCACTGCGGACACTTGGAAACTAATAGAAGAGAGAAGGATAGTGAAACAAAAGATTATCCAGTGCACCGACGAGCAACAAAAACAGAGTTGAATGCAAGCTACAATACACCGAAAAAAAGAGTAGAGGAGAGTAACAGGGAAAACAAAAGAAAATATTATGAAGCATCCAGAGAAGATAGGACTTCAGGTGAACATAGATGAAACAGAGGTGGTGAAGATTCCTGGCCAACACCAACAACAACAACAATAACAGACAGCAATCAGCCAGTATAAATGGGAGGAACCTGAAAGAAACGACTTCTTTTACCTACCTGAGAAGCATCGTTTCGACTACAGGCGGACGAAACTGATGAGAATATCAAAGCTAGGATAGAGAAAGCAAGACAGGCTTTCATTACTCTTAAGTCTGTGTGGAGGTCAACAGCACTCAGCATCAAAAATAAGATCCTGATTTTCAACTCCAATGTGAAGTCAGTGCTACTATACGGATCAGAGACCTGGCGCGTCATAAAGAGCATCTCGAACAAACTACAGACCTTCATCAACAGTTGTCTTCGCTCAATACTCAAGATCAGATGGCCGGCTAGAAAAGATCAGCAATAGGGATCTCTGGCAACAAGCGAACAATCCAGGAACCGATTGTAAAACAAATAGGCAGGAAGAAGTGGAGATGGATTGGCCATCAAGTGACATCACACGGCAGGCCATTGCTCGAGTGGAACCCGAACGGGAAACGGCGAGTTGGTCGTCAGCTGAAGAAGGTCATGTGAAGAGGAGATGAAAGCATATGGGCAGACTTGGAGCGGGGTGAAGAAGTTGGCAGAAAACCAAATGCAATGTAGACGCGCGGCTGAAGCCCTATGTTCCTCTAGTAATTAAAAGATATAATAATAAATAATGGAAAGATTTTCGCGGGATTAAATTCGGAATGAAATAGCAACTTTACTTCCCCATTAAGAAGAGAGATCAAGGAAACTATCTGGTTCACAAAATCTCATCTCATTACAAGTATGTTATGTTGAGCATTTAAGGTCATTAGGACGAAAAGCGGCGGTATTTATAGTCTCCCTGTTGACCTTGACCCTGTCAGCATGATCAGTTAGTAACATTTACTCCCCGCACGTCTTGTAAACCTGCTCAAAGAGCCCACGAATTCATTTCCTTGAAACCCTATGCTTTGTTTCAGATGACCAAGTCGAGCGTATTTTCTCAAATACTGGGCACAGACGAATTTATAGTGTCTAAACATCTTTTCTCACGAAAATGTTTGAAGTCGGTATTATTATCTGCTGCTGTCGGTGGTGCAGTTATTGGCATTTTTTACTGGTGGTTCAAATCAAGGCGTTCGGCAGATCGTGTTGTTATAAATTCAGAGACCAGAGATATAGATGACCCTACAATTCTTGCAATGCATTCCATGGATTTTTATTCCCAAGCCAAACTTTCTAGCAACCGAAGTGTGGGGTCTGTCTTTTCAAGAACTTCAACTGCCAGTGAAAAACCCACATTTACTTCAAGTGCAAGAAAACTGTCCCAGCCTTCAGTAGCAAATGACTCAGATATCGACGATAGCTCCTCTTTGGTATTGGATTACAAAAGACTTGGTTTACGCGCATTAGCTGGTGTTGTTGAGCATCTGGAATCTCTTATGTGCAAGGTTAAAGTTCTTGAAGATAAGGGTTTGTCTCCTTCTTCTGATTCTGATCAGTTAATTAATGACCTACGTGTTCTTTTGGAACATGCTTATCGGTTGCGTGAACAATATAAACAGCAGCTAGTGCTTCACGATGGCAGTTATCGACAGGGATCATTGGAATCTTTAGTGACTTCACAGGAGGATACATCCTCTTACTTCTCTGCATCTGAACACCTAGATTTGACCGAGTTAGAATTACTAATGCAGTTTAATGTGAGGAGACCTCTTTATTACAGTGCTTTAAAATTGCTGAATGAAAGTGATATTCCTTACCGGTAAGACTACACTTTATACTTTATGTTTTGCATAGATCATATGCTGATTAGTTTTTAAAATTTCGAGTAGAATCTTGTGTGAATTTGTGCTTAAATCCCCTCTTTATTAGAACTATGCATTCTTTCCAAATGCGGAGCTTGTTAAACTACAGTTTTTGATACCTTAACAAATTTCTACAGCTTGACTACCAATCAAGTTTATATTCTGTTGGTTTTATTGATACTGCTAAAAGTGTTTTTTCTCTGTCGAGTTGTTTCATAATTGGTTGCTTTTTATCATACCATTGAAACCTTATTTCTGGGTTACTGACCCGGGATACGTGAGGTGCGTCTCAGTTATTGTAAAACCTTCGGATGGTAAAATATCTCCACAGAACTTCCATTTAATAACAATTGCTATATATCTTGACACATTGTATGGTATTTAAGTAATAACAGTTATGGTTTCTGCTTATCCCGTGAACTTTGTTGCTTCACTCTCTCTCTATGAATACGAGTAAATCAACACATCGAGTTTAGTGCAAACTGTAAGATGAAATTTTTAGTTTTGTACGACTATGATTTCTGAATGGCGAGTTAGTCAACATGCTATCTTATGTACTGATAGTTCCCCTATTACTGCATTTCTAACAAAACTACTGTCACGTCTTTGTACAGTTGCAACAAACTTTTATTTTTAACGATAAATTCTCAAATCATCTTTAAAAAAAATTCTTACCACTAATTCAAAAGGAAATAGGGTGCTTCCTGTACCAATGTTAGGTACTAACGAAACCATCATGGGTATTAAAGTTTAGAGGCTAAGGATATCGACGTTCATGGATAATACGAAGTATACTAACGCAAGATCTAATAACCACAACTTCTATAGTATTCTTTCCGCGTAGACCAAAAACAAAACAAAACACAAGAATTGATCGTCGAAATTACCAGATATATTTCGGGAGCAGATCGGGATGCGAGATTATTGCTTAGCTGGTTAGGGATCGTGCACGAACGTGACACAGCGGAGTACCAAATGGCGTGGATGCTTGATCGGAGGCCTTCAGCTAAACAAGTCTAGTTAAACAGTGAGGGTCAGAATCCGATATTCAGTGATAAATGCTGTAGCCAATAATTTTGGGGAATTATTTATCGCTACAAAAGTATGTTTTTAAGCAGTTGCTCATTACAGACTTCAATGACTACGCAAATTCTGTTTTACGACCATGTGGTTAAGTGGTATCACCAACTCAAAGTTCAAAAGTTTGCATGTGGTTGCTGATCTGTATTAAATTCGCCCCACTGCATTAAGTATCCTAATCCACATCAACTGTTAATGCTCACATAGATTTCTTGTTTTAATTCTTCAGAAATAAGTAATTTAGATCATTGTTTGTTCTCCTCTGAGTGTTCATGCTTTAAATTTCATGATGCTTAGACTAGTGATGAGATGTTCTCGATCAGATACCAAAATTCAAAATACGCCAAGTTAGAGGTCTTCGTAGCTATTGGCAACCGACTTCTCCACTTATTTCGCCTATCAGTAGTAGACAATCATTACTATTAGTATTTACTGTTAATTAAATCTTTTATCTCATGAATAACATTATTTTTTTGTGAGTTCATAGTGCATTTGTATTTCTAATGCTTTAGGAACTTTAATTTATCTTTTCTTCTTCTAGTGCTCTCAGAACACAATTTGTTGGTTGTGAACTTGATATTGAATATCTAGGTAAAGTTCATTGTCTTCGTCAAGCATTTGACTATATTTTTGATCGTCCTGAATCTACTGATTGGATGATTAAAGTTGGAAAACTTAATGTATGTCGTTTATTACATTGTCTTGGATACCCAAGTACCGATTTTGACGAAGCCTATGAGTAAGTAGAACATTTTTCAACACTATTTCTATTATGAACAATTCAGAAAATAACTTAAATATCGTAGTCATATTTCATTTATTATTGTCTTGATTACAATACCACCCCTCCCCCCGATATGCACGTCACCTTAGAGATTATCATCTTCAGACTAACTAACACAGGTTTACTTTTTTCATTCATATTAAGTTGGGAATTCACTATTTCCTCCAGCCACTATTGGAGTGAACAACAGTACTCCGTGAATCGAGTAGATGCCACTTTTATTTTTAATAGATTGGATTACACAGAACTGTAAGGGAAAATCTTTAAAAAGTCAAAGATTTTCTGATCCCTCTATTACATTAGTATTCTAGGAGGTTGTGACTGTTTAATAGTATTTTGCTTCCAACTACAAGGTAGATAATATGGAATGTGTAATGTATGTGTGATTCACAATAAAGTTCTGCTCATTGTTACTCAACAACCAATTGCAGTTGCATACAGTTGGATATAAGTCACACTTATTGTGAGAGGACTAGTGAAGCTACCTGGATGCCTAAACCTCAATAGGAGTGGAGTTAGAACCAAATGAACCTAAGCTCCATGTAGATAAATCTAGACTACCCAGTTGTGTTTGAAGAAAATAGAACTCTTTACTACGTCCATCAGGACTTTAGTGTGTTTCTAGTGGATAATTAACGCCAGTACGAAATCTTTTTGCTTTTTAGAAAAAAATCCGGAAGCTATGACACCTCATTGTTTTGATTTAGTTTTATCAATTTCAGATTAATTTATCAAGTATTGGTTTGTAGAGATTTTGTTTTCATTATAAGCTGAAATCTGTTAGGAAACCATTGGAAAACCATCAGAGAGTACTGGATAGATGTTTCGTCCTAGTTTGGGCCTCTTCAGCAGCATGAACCCTTCAGGGTTTGAACCCGGACATTGCCAAGTGATCGCGGTATGTTGTGAATTGGCAGAAGTTAGAATCCATAGGCCATTGCATCGTATTCCGGTGACTTAATGGTCTACAAGCTCGCTTTGTAACGGGATGGTCCTGGGTTTGAACCCCGATGGGTGCGTACTTTTGAAGAGTCCAAAAACACCAGGACGAAACAGCTGTCCGATACTTCCTGATGGTTTTCCAATGACTCTATAACCGTTATCAGCTGATGATGAAATCCTCCAACCAATTTTAGATTAATTTGACTTATACACCCAATCTCTTGTTTGGTCATTGCTGGAGTACGAGGTGGTGTGTATCATTTTCCGACAAACAACATCCACCTTAAATTATTAAGTTGGCCTGTAATACTTGTGTGGTGAGAGCTGGCTGCTAGCCAAACTGGTAGACAGTAATTTGCGTCAATGTTTACGTCCCCAGTATTGGTCGTGAGAAAAATTACAACAAAGACTGATTCAACAACCAACCACAGCACACTTTGCGTGGGCGGATACAGTTAGCATATATATGATCTGACATTCTAGAAACAGCCACAAAGAGATGAAAGATTAACGTTCAGCGAGAAACCATCAATCAGAAGACTGTGTTTATCTGCTAACAATAATCTATAATAATGTACATGAAAATTCATAAATATCTGTTGATTTCGTAAATAAACGATCTGTTGCCTGGCCCTTGTCTTCTGTTGTTACACTAGTTCATTGTTTTAACCTTGTGAGGTGAGACAGCATTCAAATCTGTGGTTCACTAGTTGGTGATAATTAGATTAGCGGTAGAAAACATAAAAAAAAGCTCAACAACAGCCATGTATGCGCTAAAACACAATCACATAATTAATTAATTAATTTTTTAAATTTGACTGTAGCTTGACTCCACACCGTATTATTGGTACAAGTATGGAATTTTCAGCATGCGATATCAGTAGCCCAAATATTGCAGGCCAAGCAATTGATATCGGGTGTGTGTCGGTTGGGGACCGAACGCCAGACCGTGTGCATGGTCGGCGATAGTCCTAACCTCTGTACCACCGACGCAGGATAGAGCTACAATTCTAAAAAGTAATATAGAGTAAGTGAGGGGAGAGATTGATCCCTGAATCTTTGTTCATAGTATCGACACTTAAAATGTGCAATAGAAATCACGTTACGCTGATCCCAGTGATGTGGAAAATATTAGTATCAATATAATCAAAGGATAAGAAATGTTGGAACTACATAAACAAAGTTTAAAAGTTATGTGAAAACTTTAATCTGATTATGGAAGATAAATTTTGCTCAGAACGTCATCAATATTAACAGATAATACGGTATCGTTGTGTTCTTTATATCGAATAAATTTATTCTGTGTGATCAACTCGTAAAAATAAAACTAACCTTTACAAACCAAACTGTAGAATATTAATCTGATGCTCGTTAGTGACTTGCTACAGGATGGAGTTTCCTGGAGTTCTAGTGAGAAGTCGTAACTAGCGATGTCCATCCAGATGTCACGTGTGAGGATGGATGTCCCACCTACGACAATGGTTGTGGTCGCGCTAAATCACGAAATGGTAGAAGTTAGAATTCATGAGCCATTGAATTGGGTCCCAGTGGCTGAATGGTATACCAGCTAGCTGAGTTCGAACCCCAGTGGGTGCGTACTGCCGATGTTTCCCAAACTAGGATGAAACAGCTGTATGGCAGTACTCCCCGGTTTTCAATTGTTCGCTAACTGATATCAATCCGTGATCAACTCGTAAAAACAAAACTAACCCTTACAAACCAAACTATAGAATATTCTGTGTTAGAATTATACCCTACCTACCATATAGTGCCAAAAATATATTCTTAATATCAATAAAAGTGTATAAGTTGCCTGTGTAATGAAGCCAGATTAAGGAAAAAAGTTATGTCATAATTCTCTTTTGTACTATTCAAATAATTATGTGCATTACTAACTAACATGTTTGGTGGGAAATTTTCCACATCAGTTAGTAGACATCATTCATTGTGGTGTTATGTAAGCACCAGACAATCGTTGTACTCGTTTCTTTTTATACTTGTTAGTACTGCAATGTACCAAGGAAGTTTACTTTTCGAATTTTCGGATTTTTTATCAATAAAACACGAAATTGCATAGTTTCTGTGAGGGCTGAGACACTACACTGACGCCCAAACCGAAGCAAGTGGTTGTCTTAAAAGGCTACCCTGCGAGTCTTTTATTTAAAGTCTGATCCACAAAGCAGTGGACCAGCGTCAGGAGCTACATACGCCATCCAGATTCTAGAGTCCATGTAAACCATAGATTTGAAGTCAAGGTTTACCATCCCCTCACCGTGTAGCTAGACCTGCATATCTACCAGTCTAGTTTTTAAGCACCAGGCGTTTACATTTGTCCTCTCACTTTTTTGAGGAACATTGACTTAGCGTGAAGGCTGTGAATGGGACTTACTTGGTGGAGACTATAAACGTGTGACTACATAAAAGAGTTTCGCGAGGAATAATGAAGTCTATTCATTCTTGGCCGCACCAAGTCGTTTATGGAGGCTTTTAAGAAAAAATTTAGTCGGTTTCTAATCATCAGATAATATACAGCTAATCAGACGGTCAAATATAATTGGTGGATGGTAACTTGCAGTGAAGTCCAGGATAACGCGCATTTCGTCCTATTTGGGACTCGTCAGCTAGTGGATATACCTGCATTCCCCAGTGAGTCAGTGTTGGTGTTCCCACCGAGGCTCGAACCCAGTGCCTATAGTTTCAAACGCCAAGGCGTTATCCAATAGACCATTTGGCCCGCGACAGCCAGTCACCTCTTATGCAACGGGTCATTTAATTATTTAATTGAATTTTAGATTTTCCCGTCTATTGGTTGGACCGAAGTGCTCGGCCTGAGGTTGACATGTCGGCTTCTTGTGCATTACTCACTGGGTAATGTAGGTACATGCAGATGACGAGTCCCAAATAGGACGAAATGCGCTTTATCCTGGATTCCACTGGTAGTCGCCATCCACCAGTTAAATTCTAATTACATGCCTAGATTTTGTAGAAGCATTTGAACAAGAAGCTGACATGTCGACCTGAGGCCGAGCACTTCTGTCCGATCAATCGATGGGAAAATCTAAAAATTCAATTAAGACGGTCAAATAATTAGTAGGCATCGAATATATATATATATTTATATATATATTGGGGGAACTTTCGTCACAAACCGACAAAAACCAGTAATAACTGAGAAACACTGCTTCTTTTTCTTCTTCCGGAACTCAGGAGAACTATGCAAGCACAATTGTTTGAGGAATTAAATCTATAATAGTCAGGTCATTCAGGCATCATGTCAGGCTACAACAACTCATGCTATCCACCTGCTGTTAGTTTAGATAATAACACAACTATCACCAAGAGATTAACTGTCCTAACCTCGAATTGGTAAACCTTGATGATCATGGCATCTCATTAGGACTTTATGATTATAAGCGATGTCGTTTATTTGTTCTTTTGACTAGACTATGGGCCAAACATATCGAGTGTAGGCTGATGATACCTAACTAGCCTGTTTCCCAGTCTGAAGTAGGTAGAGTGGGACTCGAACCTGAGACACCCATTGGCTGTGTAAGTTGAGTGTTTAAGCCAATGAATCACACCTCCATATATAAGTAGTGAGTTAATGAGTTTTAATTCTCTTTTTGTTTAAATACTTACAGAATTTTTTTGCTTATTTATATACATATTTTATTTATGTATTTATTTGTCTTTCTATACAGACGACTGATGGCTTTTGTTATATCAAATCGAAACAAGTCGAATAGTATGATGTCTGAAGAATTATATGCTAAAGGTGTAAAAGTAATCAATTTCTATGATGTTGTCTTTGATTTAATGCTGTTGGAGGCATTCGAGTTACTTGCCAACCCGCCTAGTTCCGTACTGTCTGTTACTCGACATAAATGGTTAAGTGATAATTTCAAGCGTTGTGCATTGGATTCCACTGTTTGGACTATTCTCTTAGCTAAACGTAAAATGATTAAATATCCAGATGGTTTTTATGCTCATTATTATAGTATGGTTGGTACAATACTGCCTGCATTAGCTTGGGGTTTTCTAGGACCAAATGAAAATTACTTTCGTCTATGTGATCGTTTTCGTGAGACAATTATTTCATTTATTCGTGAATCATTCATCTGTTATGATTCATCGATTCTTACAACAACAGCAACAACAACGGCAACAAATGGTTTATCCTTAGCATTCCCTGATGAACATTTTGTACAACATGATGAATTCGATCGAAGTACTCTAGTCAATTGTCCTTCAGTTGATGAGAATATCAACAGTTCTACACCCCCACCTTCTTCTCCTTCTTCGCCTCCTCCTTCTCCTCCCTCTGTTGCTTCTGATGTAAACGATAATGATGACAGTGTGGAGACAGTTTCAGAGTCTGGACCAACATTAGTCTGTAAACAAGAAGATTTCCATCAATCCATGACATCTAATGCTGTTTATCATCGACAAATTGGTTTACGTTATACAACTGTCGAAGAATTAGGCAGTGATTTATACAAATTGATAAATATTTATTCTAAAGAATTATTAAATATCTTTATGCATGAATCACAATCGAATGGTAATCCTTTGCCTGAAAAATTACAATCAAATCCTCTTCAACCAGATTTACGTCTCAGCTATGTAGTGTAGAGACGAAAAAAAGTAGAAGAAAGCATTAGTTACTATCTATCTACTATTTGAATTGATTGCGCAATAGCTTTCATCAATCATTATTTCACTTTTCTAACTTTTTTCTTACTTGTTCACAACCAAAGCACACCTTGTATATATGTCTATATATGTTTGTATATAGATAGTAAAGTGTCTTTTGTCTTATATGTTAGTCACCAGTATAAACTGTATAGCGTTCTTTAATTAAAAACAGTGTCTTTTGTCTAGCTGTATATATACATTAAATATATGGATGATTTCTGAAGAATTGTTTTCTTCTCTGTACCGTTTTAATTGTAGATGATTGATTGAATTATTGATATATATTTTGAAGTTGGTTGAGTCTGTGTGTGTGCAGAAGTGTGTGTGTGTGAAAGGGGAATCTCACGTTTTGGATAGGCTTCGAACAAACACAGATTATGATCATGTGTTAGTTTACAAGAATTTGATTGGTTACACAGGTTTGGATCACGGGTTGACATCAGTTAGAGAATCATTGGAAACCAAACATGGGAGTATTGGACAGCTGTTCCGTTCTAGCCTGCTTGGACTCTTCATCAGTACGCACCCATGATTCCACCCACTAGGGATCGAATCTGTGACCTTCTTGTTTCAAAGAGAGCTCATAGACCAACTCAGCCACTGGGACTTGATTCAATATTTCATGATTTCTAAATTCTGCCAATTGGTCATACAGGAATTTATTTGAAGTTCTAGTGACCAGGGCTCACAAAGTTCATATAAAACACTCAGTTACAGCCTATGAAATTGGCTAGAGGTTGGCAGAATTTGGAATTCACAGTCCATTGAGTCGGGTCCCAGTGACTGAATGGTCTACAAAATCGCCTTGAAACCGGAAGGTCCTGGATTCGATCCCTAGTGGATGGAGCCATGGGTGCGTACTGCTGATGATTTGCAGGCTGAGAGGAAATGGGTATGCAATACTCCCTGCAGGTTTTCAATGATTCTGTAATTGAAGTCACTTTGTGATCAAAATTGAATGTAGATTACGGTATAGTACGGACAAGTGATTCATGTAACTATGTTCTAGATTAGGGTTTCGAGGAAGTGTGACTCATTGGATTAAGCACTGTGTCCCGAGTTTGAATCTCACTCCACCTACTTCAACTTGAGCAACTGATTGAGTAGCATCCTCAATTCACGCATAATAATTGTGTGCTTCATAGACCGGTACATGGAGACATCTGTTTCGAGTAACTAGTTTTCACCTTCTGTATATAACCTATGAAACTCCCCTATCCTCTTATAGTTAGTTGACGTCCAGTTTTCTTCATGAATTCTTGACCCACTTCCATGAAACGGCAAATTATGCATCAATCTATATTAAGAGATAAGTGTTGTTAAGCTCCTCACTTTAAATATGTAATTCACGCCACTGTGAGTGATTATTCCCTCGCCTCACTAGTTTAAATCTTCAGTTTTCTGTTTTATCTATCAGTCAGTCTTCGCTACCATGTTTATACAAATTATCACCGCCTCTTTCGAAAGAAGTGATCAACTTGATGAGTTTCTTTTAGTAGATTTACCGGACGTTTTTATTCCCCAGAAGAATAGTTAGTCGTCAGTTTTGTAAGCACGAGATTTTTGTGCATATTTCGTTCCGTTATATACTTGGGTGATCATCGAAACATTGAAACCTTGCATGAGTTGTGCATAGTGTTTCAAACGATCGTTTTTCATACTCTACGATTACTTTGTAATTCAGTGGAATGTAATAAGTCTGTGTATTGTTTTTAACTAATTATACAACCATTCGAATTTAATTGGTGGATAGTGACTAGCACTGGAATCCAGGATGCGCATTTCGTCCTATTTGGGACTCATCCGCCAGCTGGATGTGCCTGCATTTATTCCCCAGTGAATGATGATACTCCCACTGCTAGTCACCATCCACCAATTAAATTCTAGTTACCATGCCCACACATCGCCGACATGTCAACCGGAGACCGAGCACTTCAGTCCAATTAATCGACGGGAAAATCTAAAATTCAATTATACGACCATATTACCTAATGAGTACTACTACTACTACTCTATCGAGGTGTGTATTTTGAGTGTATGATTGATTTCAAAGTGAAGTTCATCATAAATCCGTATCGTTTGGGTTGGTTTAATCACTCGGCTTTCAGGTAATTTTAGAACTCGCTTCTAAACCTGTTCTATCTACCTCCAGCCTAGACAGCTGGGTAGTGTATCGTATTCCCTAGAACACAAAAAATCTATTCGAAGTATCTGACAGTAGTTAGAGGACTGTTCAATAAACGTGTGGGTCATCATAGCCTAGGACTTCTCACAGGGGTATTCGTTTTAGGAATACGTTCAGTTGATTAGTTTCTTTTATGTATATATGTATTATGTAGTCCTATTGTTCTTCTGAAACTCTCGTTTATCATATTTTTGTTTTCACAGAAAGGTATAATTGTTTGAATAATTTTATTTGTTTCAATAGGTGTGGTAATCTATGGATGCACCAACTCAAGCTATTTTATCCGCTTTCTCTGTTGTCCTTGGTCTTGAGAATGGTGATCGACAGGCAGCAGAACAAAATCTTACTGCACTTGAAGTTCTTGAAGGTTAGTTTGTATACACTTATATTGTGTTGTTTTATTTATTCCCCTCTTGAAATGTAAAGTGCTCATCACATCAAGTGAATGCACATTTTAATTATCTGTTAATATATTCTCATTCTGCGTGCGATTGAAAGTCTTCATTGATTGATTTGAGATATGTGTTGTACATCTGTCTGTCTGTTTTCGACATAGAACTTTGCACCGATGTGCGGCAGTTCAAGTCGCCGCACTCCATGTAGCACACAAAGCAAGAGAAGAAAGTAAAAAGAAATCCACAATAGAGACAGTAGACAGGGATATGAGGCAAAATGAATAGCAATATCAAAGAACAATATAGTTTCATTGGAAATTATAAGTCACAAGGAGTGGATGCATCTGCGCTAGCCATTGAGAACGATCACTTTGAGCCATATCACCAATTGTTTCCAGTCATTGGTGTTTACCGTTGCGAAAACCCCAACCAGGAAGCCAGTCTACACTTTCTTGTGTGGCTTAAACTAACCGTTGTGAATTTCATTGACTGATGAAGCCATGTTTTGTTTTGACCTCCGCTAGCTCTTATCCACCCTGAGCCTATATCAGCTAACATTGCCTACTGTCGAGGAAGGCGATGACTACGCATACGTAACACATGTCCTAACCATCTCAGTCTTTGTAACTTCACAACTTCGTCAATTGATTTCCCCTGTTTACCTAGAACTTGACGCCTAACCTCAATATTGCTCACCTTATTATGCCACTTCACACGGGAAATAGAGCGCAGGCACCTATGATCAAAGACAGCTAATCTTTTCATGTCTTCCACTCTCAGTGGCCACGTCTCACAGCCATAAAGGAGGACGGAGCGGACTGATGAGCAGTACACCCGCCCTTTGGTCGACAGCCAACCGGATATCACGTCCACGCCAGAGACGGCGTAAACTGACATGTGTGAAACTAGCCCTCTGTATCCGTACTGACACTTCGTCAGAGATCAACCCGTTGGGGCTGATAGTACTTCCCAAATAAGTGAGATGGTCAACGTGCTCTACCACTTCACTCCCTATTTCTAAACTGGGAGTCAGTGTAGTCCAGTCCTGTAACATCATCTTACAGGTTATACATAATCAATCCCAGAAGATATTATATTGATTCATAGAGTGTTGTACTTAATATAGATAATATTTTGAACAAGTGTACACTCCTCCAATCAATGTGTTCGTCTATGCTCAAAGTTTGTTTGTATACTACTCTAGTTGTAATCAGGGACTTATCATTATGTGGTTTTAGACTGATTGTTTATTATTTTTATTCGTTTGCATCCCGTGTTAAGTGGTGTAGTAAGGCGAGCAATATTCAAGTAAGGTTTCAGTCGAGTGAGTGTTAGGTAAGGATGGGGAATTAATCGACGAGGTTGTAAAGCAGCTGCGTCGATTGAGATGATTAGGATGTGTTACGCATACATGACTAACCATCGCCTTCCTCCATCGATGGACGGGCAATATTAGCTGACCGACATTAGGGATGGGTCAGGTAGGAAAAGAGAGAGCTAGTGGTGGTGGTCAAACCAAAACATGACTTCATCCATCAGTCAATGAAATCCACAACAGTCAGTTTAAGCCAACCAACCAGCCACTCACGTAGGGAGGGAGGTGTAGACTTCCTGACTGGCTGGTTGGGTGTCCTCGGGATAGTAAGTAAAAATCAATGATGGATGGAGGCAGTTGGTGATATGGGGCTGATAGTGATCGTTGTCAATGGCTGTCGCAGATGCATTCACTCCCTGTGACTTTTTGTCATAACCAATAAAACTGTATTGTTCTTCCATATTATTATTATTATTATTCTTTTTGCCTCATATTTCTGTCTATTATCTCTCTCTCTCTCTTGAATCTCTTTTTACACCCTGTCTTGCTCTGTGTGCTACATGGCGGGAGTGTAGCAACTTGTGAACGTGTAAAGTTCCACGTTGAAACCAGCCAGCCACCATAGTTTGACAGTATGGTTTTGCGTTTATATACATTTCCTATTGTCTTTCAGGAATGAAACACATTGCTGTTTATTATCTCTCTTTAATCTCTTCTGTTGCTCTGTGTGTTAAAAGTAATGTGGCAACTCAAACTATTGCATATCTGTGCAAAGTTATGTGTGGAAACCAGTCAATCAGTCCGTCTTTGCATCCCCAGTAGAACATTGGGGGCTTCAAGGTTGAGATTTGAAGTTTCAGTAGCAAATGTTAGTTATTTTTACGAATTAAGGTTACTGGTCTCACTCCCAACCTTCCTCTTCACCTAGCCTACTACCAACCACGTGAGGTTAAGGACTGCATCGACCGAAGTTCGAACCCGGGACCACGTGAGGTGTGTGATTGGGGATTATTCTGCCACCAATGAATCGCCGATTCAGTGATAGTACTTACTACTTATCAGTTTGTTTCTCGGCTATATCACAGTGAAACAAGGATACTCATAGAATTTAGTAGAAACACACATAAAAGCTGTTCAGGGTTTCAATACCTACATGGTATTGATGCTGAACAATGCAGTTGGTGACTTCATTGGTAAATTTGATAACTCTGCTGTCAAGGTATTGTTGGTGACTGCTATGGTTTAACATTACTCTCTCGTAAGATTGTGTAAAATGACTCTAACTGTTAATTTATTATTATTTTCCTGGGTTCTGAGTGAAACATAGGGCCTCAACAGTACATCTTCATTTTCTCCTGATCCGTACAGTCCTCGTTAACTGGCTGGCTTCACGATTGTTAATAAGCTGTCATCTTTCCCTATCACGATCTTCTTCATGTCACCATTGAACCCACGCCAAACTTGTCGCTTCTCATTCGGGTTCTACTCAAGCGATGGCCTGCATTACACGCGATATCATTTCAACAGTCTTCTCAGAGTGTGTCCGGCTCATCTCCATTCTCTTTGGCATATTTGTTGACCGATAGGTCCTCGGTCGATTCATTTCCAAAGTTATTTGTTGCTAATTCTTCCTGGTCATTCGATCTTCAAAATAAAAGCCTGCAGTAGTCTGTTAGAAATCCTTTTCGTGACGCTGCCGTCAAGTTTTCGAGCAATATTATAGAAGAACTGACTTAACATTAATGTGGAAAATCCAAATTTCTTTTTCTTTATGCTGTGGAGTGCAGAAGACTTCCAAACTGATTTCAGATTGATGAAGGTTTGTCTTTTCTTTGCAATTTTGGCTTTGACAACCTGATCCTTACTGTTGCCTGTAGTTGAAATGATACTGCCTAACCCCCAACGTAAGTGAACGAGGTGACCTCTTTCAAATTTACTTCGTTGACATTGATTGCTGCTTGTTGTTTCAGTTGGTTGGTTGGTTGGTTATCTTCATCACCCCTCCGTCTACTCTATGTTCGCTTGAAGTCTTGTCTTCGCTGGTTGCCAGCCTCTTCAGCCAGTTTATTGATTTTCTCCTGCAAGTCTTCAAGTTTGTGTGACGTTAAACATAGAAAATACCTTTTTGATGTGGTTTTGTTCTCTGAGCTGGATGTTTAGTTTGCGAAGCTTTCATCACCTTACTGGGTGACATCTTCAGCGCATACTTCATATAGAAAATACCCATCGGGACATTAAATTGAAAAGAAGAAGTTTAGCAAAGACAACTATCTTTTTGGTGATTTCATTCTCAAAAGCTTAGTTTACATGGATACAATTATTATTTGTTTAATTCCACATAGTAACGAAGGAGATAATATTTTTCAACTTAATATGAAAGTTTGAAGGTACGAATATAGATCACCAGGGGCTTAGAGACAAGATTACAACGTGTGCAAAATTAATATTTGATAAGTGGAGAAATTAATTTTAAAGGCGAATAAAAGGTGATAATTATTTTCAACTTGATATATGTGCGTCGGTGGCACAGCGGTTATGACTCTCGCCGATCATGCACATGGTCCGAAGTTCAATCCCCTGCCGATGCACACCTAATATCTATGGTCGGCCTGCAAAATTTGGGCTACCGATATCACATGCTGAAAATTCTATACCTGTACCAAAAAATACGGTGTGGAATCAAGCTGTAATCAAAAAAAAAAATAACTACGAGAGGCTTAGAGACAAAAGTTACGCAGGGAGGGATAGACCGAATTACAGGTCTGAACAAAATGAGCATGGAAACAAATTGAAATCAAAATTTTCAACTTGAAATGTAAGTTAGGAGGTGTGAATATAGATTACAAGAGGTGTGGAAACAAAAAATTACACAGGATTAGAATATAATTGTTACATGGTTATTCTAAACGGATTAGCAGTGTGATCGGGAAGAGAATGGAAACAAACCAAAAATAACTGATTATTTTATAAGTGAAAAAATGGAATGAATCGAATAAAAATAAAGTGAGAAAATTACACACACAGAAAACAAAACAAATCATCAGACATAAATCATCCATGTGCTATATCCAGATCTTCTAGAGTCTTTCTATCGATCCAACGTATTTCTGTCTTCTCACGCCCTAGAGTTTGCCATATAACTCAGTCCACTGCAGTTAGGAATATCATCGATAACTGTGTGGGCAGCCTTGTCTGACGCCTGTCTTCATTTAGAAGACATCGCTGAGTTTTTCTTTTGTTGTTGTAGATCACTTAACATTTGACTGTTGCAATCCACTTAAACTGATCATTAAACCACTTTTGATTTTACCTTGTTTTTATTTATGCATTTCAGTTTATCCAGTTAAAGTAATGAATATATTCTCAGATGAACAGCTGTCTATTGAACTGCGTCAGTTAGCTGGGATTACACTGAAAAATTATGTTGCTAGTCATTGGAGTGAAGCGTCTTGTCTATCATTTAAACCACCGGAAACAACTGACGAAGTAAGTACAGTATAGAAGAAAAAGAAATTTTTAAAAAGTTAAGAATGCCTACTTGATGACATCTAGAGGGACAGTCATCAGGGTATTATTATTCTCACCTGTTAGATTTTCGTTCTGTCCGGGAACTCTACAGCACTGTGTACCCAGAGTACCCCTACCAGGGATTGAATCTTGGATCTTCATGTTACGAGGCCCAGGTTGTTGACCATTTAGCCAATGAATCATGAAATCTTAACTTCTTTCAATTCACCATTTCAGCTCAACCATCAACCAATGTCATCAAAGAGTGTATCTCCTCACACCCGACCTGGTTAATCCTACTGGTTACGATATATATGTCCAAACCAAGTTCACTTTTAGGATTTTTGAAAAAAATTGGGCATTGGGTATATGATATTCATTATAATAAAGGTTTTTGTATTTCCCAATGAGTGAAAAACAAAACGATATTGTTTTTATTGACGTTTCGCTATTTAATGCTAATAGCTTTCTCAAAGTATTATTAAACCGGAATTTACAAAATCCACTCAGCATATATATAACAAAGAGTTAAGAGGTGAGAAAATAGACTTAGGTCAAGTTGAAGGAACATATTGAAAGTCAGATAGCAATGAAGATCACTAAACCAAATAACAAAGGTACGTCTGTTATGATATCAAAACAAAGTTTACTAACTTGATCATCGTTCATGAGTCTGGGGGGTTTTTCTTTGTCAAGTTGGTCAACTGGTAGAGATAACAAAACCAAGTGTAGATTGTTGGATTTGATCCGTGTGTAAAATTATAAAAGTAGTGTGTTTTCACATAGTGAACTCGCTTATCACATTCGTTTTGATTTTGTCACTTCATGGGGGAGGGGGGGACGTGTTGTAACCAGGTCAGATTCTGTTTTAGTCCATCATTCAGACAATTCGGATTCCACCTGATATGAAGTGCTTCTGATATTAGACGTTCTTTGTGATTTCTGAAGTTTTTCTGGATGATGATTTCAATATTGTCAAAATCAATTTTGTGACCTGATTCTATAGCGTGTAGGACGAGCTATGGCTGATGATTTTTCAAGTTTTTCTAGTTCAACTGGATTTCTCGGTAGTCGCAGAGATGGTTGCATTCTCTTTTGAACCATATTAACGTATTATGTGCAACTTTAAGATGATTACTAGTATTTTAGATATGACTTAAAATCCTGAGCAACGATCAAAACTCAACTAAGAAGGCTAATATTATAATGACAGCAGGCAAAGATGATATCAACGTTAATTTCCAGTGTTCCCTCAAAATAATCACGTACAAAACAGAAGTAAATCTTAACTTGTCGTCGTCAAAACACTGCACACATTCATCTCTTTTCTTTACTCTACCTTACTAATTCTCGTTTATCTTCTCTACATGCATACCAAGGAGTTATGTAGAGAGAGAGAGGTAGGTAGGCAGGCAGAGTTTTTTTTAAAATCTTTGAAAGTTTAACTCCATTTCTAACGATTTCATTTATCTTTTGTGTTTCCTTTTTCTTCTAAGGCTAAGTCATACATTCGATCTGGTATCTTACAATTATTAACTTCACCACATCGACTTATTCGTGCAACAGTTGCGCATACAATCACTTTAATCGCCCAGCATGATTGGCCAGAGGTTTGGCCTGATTTATTCAATCAATTGATTGAATTAATTCGTCAGTCATCAATGAGTAATGATATGAATGTGAATAAAAATACTGTTCATGGTGTGCTACGCGTATTAACTGGTAAGTAACTTGAGGGTGTATGTACTTTAAGGTTTCTAACTGTGAAAACACGTATAGGAAAAAGTATGAGAGAAATTTTTCTTATATATTATATATTACTTAAGTAGGCAGCTTTTATACATAGGAAATCAATCATTTTGGTTCTTATGTAAAGTATTGCACAGAGGATTGTTTCAACTATAGGCGTATTAACAAGATATTTGAAGAACCGATTTCTTCATTTGCAAGTTGTATAGTTCATGGTGAAAATTTACCACCGTCCCCTCTGGAAACTAGAAGCTCCTGAGTTCGGACCTAGGTGGGTTGGTACTGAAGGAAAGCCTTATACTCCTGACAAAGCGGCTTTCTTAGTTCTTCAGGTGTCCTCTAACTGATATCAGCTCGTGGCCAAACTTGTAATAAATAATTTTCATGTAAACCAGCACTTGAAAATTAGTCTCATGCTCACTACTGACCAGATGTATACAGGTAGTTGCTTGGAGTTTTAATGAGAAGTCATGACCGGCGGAGTCCGTCAATTCAGGCAATAGCATAGCTATTCACCGGTGGTTGTGCTACATATCGCAAGTCGGCGGAGGTTAGAATTCATGGGCTGCTATATCAGGGCCTGTTAGCTGAGTGGTCTACGAGCTCGCCCCGTGACCTGAAGGTCCTGAGCTCCAACTCTAGCGGAGACATGCTTTTGAAGGGTTATCAACTGGGACGAAACAGCTTTTTTTGCCTGGACACCAGTCCGCAGCTAGTGCAATGTGTGTGTCTAGTCCTATATTTGGTGCAGACTGAATTCTATCAGTCAAGTTTGCAATATGGACACCATGCTAGGTGGCTCGCCATCACAGTTCACTTTGGATTGTTGGTATTAGATGGTTGGAGGCAATCGGTAGGAAACTTTGGACCTAGGCTTCATGGTAGCTGACACTCACCAGTCAGAAAGGCGTATCCACAACCTTCTGAGATTTGGACCCGCGTCAACCGGTACTGTCAGCAGTCAGACGTTGCCACTGAGCTACTCAGGCTCACGACTGACTTCCTGTAGGACTCTATTGGATATTTTTGATTGGGCAATAGTCATTAACCAATTCAAACCTCAAAAGGGACATAAGTTCTTTTGAGGCTGCAGATACGCCTTGCTGATGAGTGCTAACCAGCGCAAAACCTAGGTCCAAGGCTTTTTGGCGATTGCCTCCAACCATTCAGCACCAACGAAACAGCTTTGTAGTGCTCTTTAGTTTTCCAGTGGTTCTCTAACTGATGTCAACCCGTGATCAAACCTGTAAACAAATCAAAAATAGTCAGATCACAATATATGATCTTTATGATGCCATAATTATCAATCAGCAAAACAAGCGAAATTTTATGATAATATATATTGCTGCCGATTGATAGTCTGGCTTCCGAATGAAAGCATGAAGAATTCTCACTCCGAACTGGGGGATTTGCAAACAGCGGATTTGATTCCGTTTGGCGTTAGCTCTCCCCAGGTAGCTAATCAAGATTTGTGTGGTTTGAACTGATTCAGCTCTTTGAGCTAAGTCAAACTGAGTACATTGCGAATGAACATTACAGCTAACGAGCGAAACAGCTATCTGATAGCGCAATGACTCCAACCTGGCTAGTAAACACTATTTAAAAAATTACGTGCATAGTTTCCAGCTACTCATATCAACCAACCAGTAGTATATTTCACCATACAAAATTTATTAAAATTTCACAAAGCTTTCAACCCCTTGCTTATTATTACTCAGATTAGTTTGTGTTACTGTGAATTTCATAGAAGGCTTCAGTTGAGTAAAAATCAATTAACATACTGAATAGTACTGACCAAGTTAAAAATTCAAGGAACTTATGCACTGGATTTTCTCTGCATTGAATAGTTTGAGGAGATCAGACTAGATTCAAGTAAGAATCTAGATTCAGCTGTTTTCGGTTAATCACCACGACTGTAACGTTTCTCTCACCTTCGATGTCTGTTAAAGCCTCCTTAGAAGTGAATGCAGATATAGATGTGTTAAAATATATAAACAGCAGACCTAATGCTTGAGGGTGCACGATTCGACTTACTTTTTGAGATCACAGCGACTATAGCTGGGAACTGATCCACTGTGCATGCATTGCAAACAACGGACAACTGCAGTGTCTAAAATCCTTATCTTTCAATTTAATTTTTCTGCTTTCCAAACCACGTAGAGGTAGTCTGTGAAGTCAATAGATTGTGATTCGTACAAATTATAGCTTCTCTATTGTTGTTTCTTAGGAATTTATCAGAGGAACTAATTTTTAAATATTTTTGTTGTGGAATAAATTTCTTTTCTCTTTCCATAATACAATAAAACAACGGAAATTTCGGCGGTTAAATTATATTTTGATAAATGTTTAGGTCTTTTCAAACATTGATCCTTAGGCTAAGACCACTAATGCTGATTTTTACGGTCAAGGTTTGCTTCAAATTTGAAAATGTGGTCTACTTTTATTAGGTTGCCCTGCCGCGCAGATTTATCTTGACATTGTCTAACTTATGTCTACTTTGCAGTGTTGGTAGTAACTTATATATATATGTAATGTAAGATGGTGCTACAGGACTGGACTACATTGACTCATTCTTAGCTTAAAGATAGGAATTAAAGTGGTTGGTGGAGTATGTTGACCACTTCACTTATTTGGGAGATTGTATCAGCCAATGCTAGCGGGTTGATCGTTGACGAAATCTCTGCACAAATACAGAAGGCATATTTGGCATATGCCTGCCAACTTACGCTATCTCTGGCTTAGTTGTCGTGATATCCGGCTAGCTGTTGACCAGAGGACCTGTGTACTGCTCATCAGTTCGCTCTGTCCTTCTTTATGGCTGGCTGTGAGCGAGACATGGCCCCCATTGGAAGGGGAAGACATGAAAGGGCCAGCTAGCTGTCTTTGATCATAGGTTCCTGTGTTCAATCTCCCGTGTTAGGGGAGTGGTATAATGAGGTGAGCAATAATGAGGTTAGACATCAGTCGAGTGGGTTATAGGTAAGGAGGGATGTATCCGTAACATATGTCCTAATCATTTCAATCGACGCAGCCGCTTCACAACGGCGTCTGTTACGGTTTGTTAATTCTTGTATTCTCCCTACAATTCGTCCCCCAGCTTAATCTTTCCCAGGCTGCCTAAGAAAAGCTTTGTTTGTTATAATTCGTAGGGCGCTAGAAGCTGTTAGTAGGCCGAGTGCAGTAGGTGTCACTCAACCAAATCATTAATACTATTGTAGATAGACACTTAAATTCCTGCAAGAAATTAGCAAATATTATCCTGTCAGACTATGAACATCTTGTTCATACATACGACTCTCTCCTTGCATCTCATTAGGCAGAACTAGAAGCAACTGTAAAAGACTGTATGCTCGGACGACTGGGTACAAAAGTTCTACGATACATTATTTGTTAGGCATATATTTTATGTGATGAGAAAAGTGTGTAAGACAGGAAATTACTCACTTACTGATGAGGAACTGTGAGTAAACGGCATTATTTTTTTTGTTCTGATTGTTACATTGTCGGTGATATGTTCGCATGATTTAATTTAATATTCATTTCTTATTGAAAAATATTATTATTGCAAATGACTTATTTTAAATTATTCCCCCTGTAATGAGAAAATTAGAAGCAGCATTGTATTACATGCTGAGAATTCAATATCTGTACCGAAAGTACTGTTTGGAATGAAGCTATTATTATTATTATTATTGTTATTATTATTATTATTATCATCTCATAACTTATATAGAGAAGGTCTAAGTTTAAACAAAATAATAAATTCTGGGATATAATGGCAAGAGTTACGTAATAAAGACAAAAGCTTATTTTCGATTGCACACTAGTCAGTAACTAGTGTGATGTGTGTGTGTCTAGTCCTATCTTCACTTCAGACTGAATTCTATCAGTCAAGCTTGCAATGTGGTCACACCATGCTAGGTGGCTCGCCATTACGGTGCACTGTGAAATATTGGTATTAGATGGTTGGAGGCAATCGGACACAGAAAGCCTTGGACCTAGGTTTGTAACAACAGAATACAAGGACCAGGCAACAGATCGTTTATTAAGGAAATCAACACGTATTTATATATTTTCATGTACATTATTATAGCTTATTCAAGCAGACAAACACAGTCTTCTGATTGGTTGTTTCTGGTTTCTCAGAAAGTTAAGCCATACATCTGCGAATCTTATCTGCCCACGTTAAGTCTGCTGTGATTGGCTATTAAATCAGCCTTGTTCATATCTTCTCACGGCCAATATTAGCGACATGGACATTGACGTAAATTAATGTCTACCAATCGGCTAGCAGCCTGCTCTCACCACACTCGTAGTTTGGACTGAAGTCGGCTTGATCTTCTTGGTGACGGGCGTCATCGTTGGCTTGTCTCGCTGTATCCATTTCTGGAGCTTGCTGATGTTCACGCGCTTCTCCTTGTTCGCCATTGCGATTGTGTCTGCGTAACCCCCTCTCGAAGTGACCATTTGTGGTCCTTCCCACTTTGGAAACTGTTTGCCTGACCCTGTCGCACATTCGTCGGTATTTCGGTTCACACTTTCATATGCTGCTTTCTCCCAACCTCCCAGCAGCGTCCCAAGTAGCAGCTTCATCGCTGACAGATCTTGAACGCCACTCAACTGCGTAGAAGCCTTGGCGCTCATCAGCAAAGCACTGCAGCACTGAGTGGCGCGGGTTCGAATCTCAGAAGGGAAATGAGTTCCTTCAAATTTGCAGATACGCCTTGCTGACTGGTGAATGCCAACTAGCACGTAACCTAGGTCGAGCAAGGCTTCATGAGGCCGATTGTCTCCAACCATCTAAAGACAAAAGCTGAATAAGATGATGTGTGACTAGTAAACTGAGTAACAGCCTAGTGAGTTCTACTCAAATTATAGGGAAAAAAAAACAAAATAGCACTATAATCAAAGCAAAAAGGTTAAAGCCAGAGATTATGTGTAGTCAAATAATAAAAGGTAGAGTAAAGACATCCAGTTACCGTCGGAGCAAAGAAAGGTTGATAGCTGCTTCTTTCTGATCAAAAAAATCAAACCAGGTTTCAGGCATTTGACACCAATTACTTCGGTAAACTTCTCTGTTAATAATTTTAAATGATTCCGTGGTGTTCACCTCACGGACCTGTATGAAGGTTTGGTATTGACACTACTGAGGGTGTTTATTCCCTTATGAGACGTAGGTTTTTTTTGGTACTTCTTCAGAATTTCGTCATGTTAACCATTTTTCGTGTATATATATGAGTATTTGATTTAGTTTAGATGCATTTGTGTATGTGCGTGTGTGTGTGTGTGTTAATTACGACTTAAATACACTAAAACTGAAGAAAAAACTCAACATTTTCTTGATATTTTCTCTTCCATCTACAGAAATTAGTTCTGATCTCTCAGATCTTGATCTGCCTATTATTGGTGCATATTTAATGCCTGAACTCTTGAAAATCTATTCAGATAAAGAGGTAATTATGCTGTCTGTGATTTGTAATCAATAGCTTGACTTAATTTTCTCTGGATATTACTTCAATTTATTTTTTGTATTTTGATAAAAAAAAAATTCTACTTTATTAATTTATAATATTATGTATATTAAATGCACTAAACGGATTCAATTGAAATTGTTAGTTTTGCAGAAATCCTATTGGTTACAGGCTTTATCATGAGATGACATTTCACTTAGAGAAACATTAAGAAGACGAGGAGAAGACTGGACAGCTTTTTCGTCCTGGTTTGGGGCTCTTCGTCAGTACGCACCCACCACCACCAGGGTTTGAACCTAGGACCTTCTGGTTACAAGGAGAGCTTGTAAGTCATTCAGCCACTGTGACCGATGTCGGTTACCCATGAATTCTAACTTCTGCTAATTTATAGTCTATATAGCAAAAGCGCTTACCATTGTCATTGTCAAGTAACTGACTTCTTACAAGACTTGGTAGACCCCGTTCAGTACGACTTCAGATTGATTTTCAGGTGATTGGTTTGCATAGATTTGATTGATTACAAGTAAGACTTTTGAAAATGAGACGAAATAAGTGTAGAACTATTATTTATAAAAGGTGGCGTCGGGTAGATAGTGCAATTCGATGTTTGAAACAATTAGGCTGTTGGATTCAAATTCAATTGATGATAATATTATCAATCAGTAAGGGTGTAAGCACATTCAGCTGATAAATCTCAAACAAGATGAAACCTTTTAGTTGAATTTTAGATTTCCCCATCGATTGATTAAACCAAAGTGCTCGGTCTCAGGTTGATATGTCGACTTCTTGTGCAGATCTTTCGGCGATGTCTGGGCATGTAATTAAAGATCATTTGGTGGATGGTGACTAGCAGTGGAATCTACCAGGATAACGTGCACTTCACCTGTCCTATTTGGGACTCGTCAGCTAGTAGATGTACCTGCATTCCCCAGTGAGTCAGTGTTGGTGTTCCCACCGAGGCTCGAACCCAGTGCCTATAGTTTCAAACGCCAAGGCGTTATCCATTAGTCCACTTGGGCCACGACAGCCAGTCACCTCTTTTGCAATGGGTCATTTAATTCTTTAATTGAAGTTTAGATTTTCCGTCGATTGATTGGGCCGAAGTTCTCGATCTCAGGTTGACATGTTGGCTTCTTATGCAGATGCTTCGACGTCATCACTCACTGAGAAATGCAAGTATATCCAGATGATGAGTCCTAAATGGGACGAAATACACATCCCGGATTCCACTGCTAGTCACCATTCACCAAATAAATACAAGATGAAACCTGCCAACTGGATTTCCATTGCTTTTGGGTAATAGATAGATTACTTGATTTGTTGCATTGATTGTACGTACAAATGATAATTTGTACAATAGGACAATAATAATAATGGTGTACTTACTCTCTGTGTAGAATCTTTAAATAAATAATATTAATGATCGATAATATACCATCTGAAGCAATATTGTTCAACCCGAAGCTTTTCCCAGTAACACCTCCATTTCTTTCCAAAACTTTCTAGTGATAGGTAGAAACTTATTTTAAATAACGCGCGAGTGAGAATTGTGACTCATTGTAATAATTAAACCATTAAAATAATACAAAAATGCAGTAAACACGATGCATTTTGATGAATAGGAAATTTGGGTGGCCTGGATATTTTAGCAGGCTGCCGTCGGTATTGTAAATGTCTTATCTCCTACTGTATACTGACACGCATACATGTATGCATCTGTATCTAAAATGAATGACTGACTGGTTTCAACGTAGAACTTTGCACCGATGTGTAGCAGTTCAAATCTCCACGCTTCACTCAACACACAAAATCAGAGAAGAAAGTAAAAACAAACGCGAAATAGAGACAGTAAACAGAGATATGAGGCAAAAAGAATAGTAATATCGAAGAACAATATAGTTTTGTTTTAAATTATAAGTCACAAGGAGTAGATTTATCTGTGCTAGTCATTGAGAACGATTTTGTGGCATATCACCAATTGTGTCCAGCCTTCATTGGTTTTTACCCTCTTGATAACCCTGATCAAGAGGTCTACATCCCCCTACGTGGCTTTTACTAACTGTAATGGATTTCATTGACTGATGGATGAAGCCATATTTTGGTTTAACCCCCACTGGCTTTTTTTTCAACGTCACTGGTCCTATGTTAGTCAACTAGCATTTCCCGTCGAGGAAGGCGATAGATGGCTAGTTATGCATGCGTAACACATGTTCGAATCATATTAGTCGATGTAGTTTCACAGCATCGTCTATTGGTTTCCCCTCTTTACCTAGCACTTGACCGATGCCTAACCTCAATATTACTCAACTTATTATACCACCTAACACGGGAGATAGAACGCAAATACCTATGATCAAAGACAGCTAGCCAGCCTATTCGTATCTTCCACTTTCAATGGCCATATCTCACAGCCAACCATAAAGGAGGGTAGAGCGAACTGCTTAGCAGTACACATGTCCTTGGTCGATAGCCGGATATTACGTCTACTCCAGAGACGGCGTAAACTGGCATGTGCCAAACTAGCCTTCTGTATCCGAGCTGAAATTTTGTCAGTGATCAGCTGGTTGGGGCTGATGCAACTTCCGAAATAAGTGAAGTGGTCAACACGCTCGGCCGCCACTTAACTCTCTATTTCTAAGCTAGGAATCAATGTGGTCCAGTCCTGTAGTCCTGTCACCAGTTTAGATGACAACTCGCCGTAAGCTCTCTCTCTCTCTCTCTAAAATGATTACTCATAGTCTAACTGTTTATGGAGGAGAAATAGCATAAAAAAGATTCGATTACCTTGAAAAGTAAGTATTACTTCACTCAGACCTTTTAATCTTCTAAAAAAGATTGAAAAAAAAACAATATTCTTTTCGATAATTTCCTTATCTGGTTCTACAGTTATATATGCATAAATAATATTTAAAAGGTAATTGTTTTACGAAGTTTTGGTGTTGCTAAGATCAATAGAATTACAGTTCAAAGAAGCATGTGTAAGTGATAAAACGCTTAAATTAGTATCTGATAAAATTAATAAGAAAAATTATATAACAGTTTAAACAATAAATTGACCATATGGTCTAAAGGTTCTAGGTTCGACCCCCGTGGATGTGTATCGATAAAGAATCTCAACTAAGTAGGACGAAACGACTGTTTTTAACATTTCCTGGCTTTAACACTGGTTCTCTAATTGATGTCAACTGGTGATCAAATATGTCATGAATCAAATCTCTACAAACCAAGACTTGTCAATTAATGATGACCAGGGTAAGGAAAGCGTGTGAATGGTATTCTTCTGAACACATAAGTTTAGCTTCTTCGTCAGATGAATTCTGACGGATTCATCTGTATATGTAAAAGTTGAACTCGTAAGGCGAAATTAAGATTCATTGGAATAAGGTAGATAACTTTAAATGCCTTGTTAACATCAACTTTATGTTCAGTATTTACAATGTGAGGTAAAACAGAGCTACGAATGGACCTTGTTTGTCGCATGTGTGTATCCTGGCAGGATTACTCTTTATGTATTGTGTTTATATAACTGTAAAGCGAGATGAGAAAGATATCAATAAGGATGTGTACTTTGCTCAATTTTGTTTTGCCTTTCTGAATATACAAATAGTATAAGCAATTTTCGAGTCTTTTCGATATTTAGATATATGGAACTAGTTAATTACGCGTTCTCTGTTAACTTTTGATTGCTTATTCAAACAAATCTTTAACTTTCAATGCCCAACAGAAATGATATGACTTATAGATCCATTAAATTATGAAAAAAAAATAGTGAAAGCATTCAGTTTGTTTTTCCACGTCACCCTTGAAGGCCCTATTCAAGAGGGCTTGCGTTACGTGCTATGTCAGCCCGGCGGTCTTCTCAGTGTGTCCCTGATCCATCTACAATTTCTTCTACATGTTCATTGGTCAATAGGTTCTTGGTTCATTCGTTTCCAGAGTTTCTTGTCCCTCTTCCTTTGTCTCTGACCATCTTATCTTATCTTTAGTATGCAGCCAGCCAAGACAGTTATTGAGAATTCTATCCGTGACACCGTTAGCCAAGTTTCTGACCAATGTCGCAGAACTAACTCACTTGATATTGTTGTTGATAATTGGAATTATGTTCTGTGTGTCAAATGCAGAAGATTTCCAACCTGATTTCAGAGTAATGAAGGTGTGCCTGTCTTTTTTTTTTCCAACTCTGGTTTTGACATCCTCAACGATGTTGTTGGCTGGATAAGTGAAGGAAAAATGACCTCTTTCAAAATTATTCCATTTATAGTCATTCGTAGTTCAAGTTGGTTGATTATCTTCATCATCACCTCCGTTTTTCTCTTTATATTCACTTGAAATCCCGTCCATCTTCACTGCCCCGCTTTTCTTTTTTTGACAACTTGTTGATTTTCACCTGTAAATCTTCTAGTTTGTGCGACACTAGAAATAATTTATCCGCGTCGTCCAGATCTTCTAGAGTCTTGTTATGGATGCAACGCATTCTTGTCTTCTCACGCTCCCCTACACATGCATAATTTTCAGTCCACCACAATTATGATTATTATCTATGATAGCAGACCAGCAGCCTTGTCTTACTCCTATATAATATTTACTTCAAAGGCTTCACTGAGTCTTCCTTTGTGGATCATCTGGTATGTGACACTTGGCTGCTTACTGATTGACTGACTGATTCAAAAGTCTCCACATAATACATTGTCGAATTGCTGACAATGACGGGTGTTCATTTTTTTCCCTAAAAGGATACCTTAGGAATCTCCTACCCAATTACAATTGTGTGATTTTGGGCGATTAATCAATTACTTTTGATTGGACGCTAGTAATTAGTGTGACGTGTCTAGTCCTTTAGTTTGGTGCAGACTGAATTCTATCAGTCAGGTTTTGCAATGTGGCCACCATTCTAGGTAGCTCGCCATCACGGTGCACATTGATTTGATGGTACTAGATAGTTGTAGGTAATCGGAAGGAAGCCTTGTACCCGGGTTTCGCGCTAGTTGGCACTCATCAGCAAGGCGTATCTGCAAGTCTGAAGGAACTCATATCCCTTCTGAGATTCGAATCTGCGTCACCCAGTGAACTCTGCAGTCAGAGACCTTACCACTGAGCTATTCAAACTCGCGATTGACCTTCTGTAGGACTGTAGTGGGTAGTTTGATTGGACACTAGTAACTGGTGCGATCTGTGTCTAGTCCATTCTTTGGTGCAGACTGACGAGTGCCAACTAGCACGAAACCTTAGTTCAAGGCTTCTTGTTGATTGCCTCCAACTATCTAATATAATCAATTGCTAAAATGAGCTTGCATGTATATGTAACATTTAAGTTTACTGAAGAGTCTTAAATAACCAGCTTGTTATTATTGCTGAAATAGTGTAGTCTGTTAGAGTAAACTTTATTTTCTGTCTCTCTCTCTCTCATAAAGTCGGAGTTCTATTGTCTGATTTATTCCCTCTGTTTTTCACCATTCACAGCATTATGGTGAGTCAACACGTCGGCGAGCTATAATCACGATTGATAATCTGTTAAATATTGCTATAATGTGTCATAATGAGGTAAGTCAATGAGGTTTCCTTTTATCCTTTTTTTCCCCGGTAGTTTCTTATATTGAATTTTAAGTGTTGATCGCTCGGAAGTTGTTTTTTTTAATCAATGGTCAGGGAAACATTGTGTTAAGAAGGCTAAAGATTATATGGACTCAGTTGCCTTCTTCCAGTTACCGATGGTGAGTGGAATTCCAGCCTAAATGTTGTGACATTACACTATCTTCCTGCTTGCTCAACGTCATCCAGCTTGGGCAGCTGGGTAGGTAGTATCATTAGTCACAGTACTACATGATCAGTTTGATACGAATCTACTTGAGGAGGTGAAAATTTGAAGTTCTTAAGCACCATAAAGCAAACTCTAGTCACAGAACTGATTGGAGTGTTCAATATCGGAAAATGAGTGTTCCTACCATCAATCTGAAATGAGACCATTATCATGTCTATCTCTTCTAGGCGACTGATGTAATACATGTGAAAATCACGGGGCTATTAGCTGGTTAACACTTACTTCTAAAATATTCCCTGTTGTCTTTTTTTTGCAGACTATCGATGCATTGATCATGTGTGTTCACCTAGCAATCAATGTATTTCTAGGTATTAAGGCAGTCTTCGATTCGTTGAACATAGCTTGCCCTCTAGAACTATCTGTTAGAGAGAAGTGTACCTTAGAAGCACCTTGCTGACATCCTTAAAACTACCTACAGAAACACCTCAACTAGCCCCCTGAGGGCATGGAACTATCTATCACTGTTGTTACCAACCAATAATTGTGTTCGATAGAGTTATCAGATCTCACTGTTTCTCTCAACCTTACCATCGATGACATTTTGGTGATGTATCTGAAGGATATAAGTGTTATTTTATTTTATATTTTATTTAGTCGCATAAAAACTTGGTACAATATGACACCAAGAAGGATGCGCCACACAATAATAATAAAACAACATAGATCAATAGAAAAAAGGAAGATAAGAAAAAAAATATAAGTAGAGAACGGATAAAGAACTTCATCTGGAAGGATAACAGTCATGCCTAACAAGTTCAAACAGTGTTCGTTAACTATCATCGAGAAGGGAAGAAAGAAGGAAATTGCAACACGTTCACCATTGATTACGATTCTTGGCCATATCCGATAACGTTTCGAGCCATCGATTTTGGCTATCTCTCGGACCCCAACCACGGAGTCGTGACACACCAACCGATGCTAATCTACCACAAAAATCGCTCATCCCACGACGCGACGTCATGGACTGACCACCTCTCCTCCTTTTCCATCCCGTCCCAGGGCTGGTCAGCGAACAGAGACCTGTACGGAAGCTTATAGGTGTTGGTTATATAGATCTGCTATCTGGAGAAAAAACTCTTGACTTCGAGTATGCAGACGATATTGTCTCACTCGATGATAATACACTGACTACCGAAATCTTTATGCTATGTGCTTTGCTTCATCTCTAATTACTAATTACTATTTCAAGATTGATAGCAGCCTGTACCTGTACTCACTCACCCTTTCAGATATACTGCTTGACATAGTTGAAAAGTCCGTGTATATGTGTGTTTGTGAGTATCACTGAAGATGTGTCGGATGAAATCTCTGACTATATAATAAAAACTAGGGGGGGGGTATACACCAACCTAGGTTACTTCCAGCACTGTCACAACATTAGCCTGGCGTTCAATGACCATCGGGTTCACAATGCTTCAGTGCATTCAGTCTTTGTGTGCACTGTTGTAAGACTTGACCTCTGAATCGAGGATATGCAGCAGCGACTCTGCATACTCAATCAAAGTCACCCCACCACAGAATTGCTTGATGAATCCAGTGACATCATTGTATTAGTAGTCATTTTAAGGTTGAGAGGTGGAGTGTGTATTTAGATATATTGGAGGCCCATGAAGTATTGTAACCTAGGAACACCGGTTTCAATGGCTTGGAAATATATTATGAATGTCATCCAAACGATGGCCCATATGGTCAGTCCACTGTTTATTAGCTACTGGACTGGTTGGAAAATGTGGAGAGATGGTTAACTGTTGGATAGACGGATGAAAAATAATCGTATTAGTTTAACATCTGTGCATCACAGAACTCATTAGATGCTGGACCTAAGAGGTAATTTTGAACCAGCACCTGGGCAACAGGTTGCAGACCTTTATCAACAACTGTCTTCGCTCTATACTGAAAATCAGATGACTGGGCCGGAAGAAATCACCAACAAGAAACTATGGGAACAGACGAAACAAAAGCCAATCGCCCACCAACAAATACACAGGAGATGGAGTGGAGATGGATTGGACACTCACTGAGAAGGCCACCACTAGGTGATATCGCACGTGCGTCAGGCCATTGCTCGAGTGGAACCAGGCCGAAAGGGAAGCGGCGAGTGGGACGTCGGTGCAAAAGTGACATGGAGGAGATTGTGTGAAGAGGAGTTGAAACAGTATGGACTAACGTGGATGCAGGTGAAAAGTACAGCAGAAGGAAGACAGAAGTGGCAAGTGGAGACGTGCAGTTGAAGCCCTATGTTCCACTAGGAACCTAAGAGAACAATAATAACCTGGGCAATTTATTTCCATTTTGAAGGTAACATGAAATGAATGAACATTGTCTAAATTGTCTACACCTTTATGTCTTAAGTCTTTTTTCATTTATTGTATTTCTTTTATATTCCTCTATGATTCATCTCTGTTGTAGCCCACCTACCCCCCCCCCACTTGTATCATGTTTATGCCTAAAAAGGGAATAAGTAAATAAACAAATCAATAAATCAATATCCCTGCCTGGTACATAGAAAAATTTGTGTTCCATGTAGCTGAGGTATTTTTTTTTTCAGACTTAATCGAGATTAGTAAATCAGATGATTAATCGTTGTTGACCTAAACTATATACAACTCTCTGTGTGTCTAACTTTATCATAATTTAACCAACTTGTATTCCCGTTTTCTTCTATGTAGGATATATTAAACGCCTTTGTGGATCGTTATATTCGTCCATCATTGGGTGCAATAGTTAGCGATTTAACTAGTGAAGAAGAATCCTTGGAAGTCTCAAAAGCATCACTTAAAAGTGAACTTATTCAAGTAAGATACTATTATTGCTTTGTTTTGTTTATCTGGAGGAGAAAACACACATTATTATTTTGATGTGTGCTTGTTTCTTTTAGAATTTCTGTTTGTTTGTTTGTGTGTGTTTAAGAGAGGTATTCATTGATGTGTTATTTAAAAAAACTGATATTATACTACTTAAACAACTGTACATCAGTTGTCTGCTAATCGAAACGTTTGAATTTGTGAAACTTTTATGGTCTGTATGTATCATCAACCATTTGGTCACTTGTTCAGTAGTGGGAATGCTCATTAAATCATACACGTGGTCCGGGTTTGATTTCCGGTCGACGGACTCCTGAACCTCGCTTCTTTTATGTTTTTATTTTATTCTTTCACGTTCCGAGTGCAGTATAGGACTTCAAGCTTCAGCAGTGGATTCATTTTTACCCAGGGTGGGGCTGCTAGGGTCAAACGTAAACTCCCCTCTTTACTGACCTTGCTACCTACCTACCTACCGGCTTAGCAAGGTTTAGGAGTGCTTAGGTGGGGGAGATTGAACCACGGACGACCACTTGCGTGGTTGACGAACATCCTACCGCTGAACCACCAACGCAATCAACCTCTCTTAGCCGGTAGTAGACCCCAGCGCTATTGAGACTTCAAAATCTGAAGTCTGAAGCCCTACATTCCACTTAAAACACTGAGAAATGAGAATATATACAATAATCATTATGAGGTTATAGTTAGTAAAAGTATCCCATCTCCTTTCTGATGCGGTATGGAGCTGAATCGAGAATGGTTAAGCTGCATGGATATCATGGTACCATTCACCTATTAAATGCAGTGATCTGAAAACTTTGACATGCGATTCGCTCCCGCCAAATGTAAGATGATGCTACAGGACTGTACCACATTGACACATTCACTTATTTGGGAAGTTCTATCAGCCAACACTAGCGGGTTGATTGCTGACGAAATCTCAGCTCATATATAGAAGGCTAGTTTCGCATATGCCAGTTTACACCGTCTCTAGCGTAGACGTGATATCCAGCTATCGTCAGAAGCACGTGTGTAATACACAGCAGCCTGCTCCATCCTCTGTGAGCAAGACATCACCATTGAAAGTGGAAGACATAAGAAGGCTAACTGTCTTTGATTCTAGGTCCCTGCTTTCTATCTCCCGTGTTAAGTAGTATAATAGGGTGAGCAATATTAAGGTTAGGCTTCGGTCAAGTGTTAGGTAAGGAGGGGAAACCAATCGGCGAGGTTGTGAAGTTACATCGGTTGAAATGTTTAGGAGATGTGTTACCTATGACTAGCCATCGCCTTCCTTGACCGACGGGCGATGTTAGCTGACATACCTTCAGGTTGGAAAAGAGCTAGCGGCGGCGGTCAAACCAAAACATAGCTTCGTCAGTCAATCAAATCCACAATAGTTAGTTTAAGCTACGTAGGAAGGTGTAGACTTCCTGACTGGTTGGGGTCTTCGGGACGGTAAAAACGAATGAAGGCTGGAGAAAAATAGTGATATGACTAGAAATCGTTCTCAATGACTGGTGCAGATGCATCCACTACTTGTGACTTATGATACCCAATGTTCTTCGATATTACTATTGTTTTTGCCTCATATCTCTGTTTACTGTCTCTATTTTGCGTTTCCTTTTTACTTTCTTCTCTGGATTTGTGTGCTGGGTGAAGTGTATCGACTTGAACTGCTGCACAGCGATGCAAAGTTCTATGTTGAAAACAGACAAACAGATAAAATTTTAATCAAAGTACCCTCACTACCTGAGACAGAGATGAAGGTGAATAATGATCTGGGAAGTCATGTTTGCGCAGGTGAGCATCTGGGTGGTCAATACTCCCCGGTTGCCTACGTCATGAAACCTGATTTCTTCTTGAAATACCTGAAACAGAATTCGTGTTGTGTGACTGCTGTGCCCACAGGACAACCTCTTGAAGCTGGCCACACAAGACTTTTTCGACCTGATTTTTATATCTGTGTCCGTATATAGATCTTACCGTTAGCTACGGACCGCCTCAATGTAGGTTGGGATATATAATTTTCTAGGTGGGCATTTCCTAAACCACCTCCCTCCTCAAAGGTGAGAGGCTGTGTAGTTGGCTTGCTGGTCGCCTGAGGCAAGCATCTTACTGCTGTTAAATCCGTATTCACCAGCAGTACAACTTCGCTCTTACACCTTCAACATACTGTGAACAACTTTTAGTCTACCAGCTATGCAAATGATCTTTCTGGAACCGAGTAGGACCTGCAGGAACATTCGTCCCAATCATCGTAGCTCTTTGGATCATTTCGATATGCGCAAGCCTGACCCGCCACATCGAGGTAACGAATTTTTCTTGGGGCTTCTTGATGCAGATTGAAAGCATGCTAATATATTCAACGTAATTTTTGGTATGTTATTCAGTGCTCTTTTTAGTGATACTCATACAATCAATCTAACAATTTATTCTACATATTTTAATTCGTGTATTTCATTTTGCTGTAATAACCCCCTACTGATATAGAATTGTATCAGTCTCATATTGTATCTCTTAATTTACTTATATCTTCCCCACTTAGTTTTATGTTTTCATTCTTTCGAGTTTCGAGTTCAAAGTTTAAGCTTCTAAGTCCCAGGAGTTGTAGTGTTATTTCTACTGGATAGGACTGCCAACTTCACATCCAATGCTCCTTCTCTTCCTGGCGTCAGTAGAGAACTGAAGCCAGAAATCCCTCTTTACTGGCGAGTGAGTATGCGGCGATTGAACTGTTGACTCACAAGCTCCTATTTAAAAAAATATAAATATACTCTTAATCACTTTTTCTTGTCAACTATAGTCACCTCTTTAGTTTCTGAATGTTATGCATCACTATTCATTATCATTATTTGATATCTGGCTAGCTGTCGACGAAAAGGGCGTGTGTAATGCTCAGCAGTTTGCTCAGTCCTCCTTTATGGTTTGCTGTGAGAAATAGCCATCGAAAGTGGAAGACATGAAAAGCCTGGCTAGCTGTCTTTGATGATGATAGGAGTCTGAGTTCTATCTCCCGTGTGAAGTGGTAAGATAGGGTGAGCAATATTGAGGTTAGGTTTCGGTAAGGGAAAGGGCAATCAATCGACGACGTTGTGAAGCAGTTGCATCGAATGAGATGGTTAGGAAATGTGTTACGTATTTATGGCTAGCTATCTATCGCCTTCCTCGACGGGCAACGTTAGCTGACTAACGTAGGATGGATCAGGCTGGAGAAGAGAGAGCTAGTGGTGGTGGTCAAACCAAAACATGCTTCATCCATCAGTCAATGAAATCCACAACAGTCAGTTTAAGCCAACCAACCAGCCACTCACGTGGGGAGGGAGGTGTAGACTTCCTGACTGGTTGGTTGGGTGTCCTCGGGATAGTAAGTAAAAATCAACGATGGATGGAGGCAGTTGGTGATATGGGGCTGATAGTGATCGTTGTCAATGGCTGTCGCAGATGCATTCACTCCCTGTGACTTTTTGTCATAACCAATAAAACTGTATTGTTCTTCCATATTATTATTATTATTATTCTTTTTGCCTCATATTTCTGTCTATTATCTCTCTCTCTCTCTTGAATCTCTTTTTACACTCTTGTCTTGCTTTGTGTGCTACATGGCGGGAGTGTAGCAACTTGTGAACGTGTAAAGTTCCACGTTGAAACCAGTCAGCCATCATAGTTTGACAGTATGGTTTTGCATTTATATACATTTCATATTGTCTTTCAGGAATGCTATTTAAACACATTGTTTAAAACTGTACAACTTTTGATTAGAAGTTATGAAAGGTATTCATTCAGTCAGCCAGTCAGTCAGTTGTCGTTTACTGACCTACATTGATTTGTTTTTTCCAAGTTTTATATCCACATAGGGTGGTAGCATTTTAATGTAGTAGTGCACATATATGGATACTTTGTTTTCTCAATATTTAATGTACTAGTCATTTTTCCAGTTTTGTTTCTTTGTTTAAATCTTCTGTCTCTTTTTTCTCTTCTTTTTGTTTTCTAGCTTTTAACAACTTTGTGTGTAGAGAATCCGAAATTCTTCTCTACCTTTCCTGGTTATGATATGTCACAAATGATTAATATTGTACTACATTTAGTTGTATATTGTGTTAAACATTATGTTGAATTAAAGATTACTACAACTGACAATAATAATTGTGAAGTTGAAGACGAGTATGATTCTGATGGTAAGTGTTTGCCCTATTATTCATATTATTATTATTATCCTTTTGAGTTCTGAGTGGCTTCGATAGAATATTGCCACTTTTTATCCTGTTTTTTGTTGTGCTATTGATCTGTCTGACTGGACAATTGTCTATAAGCTCGTATCTCCGTCTCCACATCACCCTCGAACCAATGTCGGACTCGTTTTTTCCCATTCGACGGTCTAGAATGTAACTGACCCATCGCATTCCTTTCAGCATGTTTTGTGTTTAGCAGTAGTTTCATAATTCGTTCATTGTTTCCTTCACGTTCCCAGTGGAACATAGGGCTTCAAGCTAGAGGCTTAAAGTTTCTGGGGGTGCTAGCCTCATGCCCAACCTTACCTCTTTATCAGACCTATTACTGACTTAGCAAGGTAAAGGAGTGCGTCGGCCGGTGATCGAACCTCGGACCATGTGCATGGTCGGCGAGTGTCGTAACCACTATGCCACTGACGCACACATTGTTTGTCAGAGTTTCTTGTTTAGTCATGTTTTCTGAGTGGCCATTTGATTTTCATTTATAGAGCCAGTGAAGGCAACTGTTGATAAAAGTCTGCTGATGCAGCCTGTTAGGGGGGAATACTTTTGGTAACATGAGCAAGCGCCAGCTGTCTCTAAACTCTACAGAAATACTAACTTGACATTCGTATTGTAAATATCTGGATCGCGTTCTTTATGCTTAGTATGGCAGAATGTTATATCGATTTCAGTTCTAATGAAATATCTCCCCTCTCTCTCTCTCTCTTGGTCTTTTCTGATCCCAGCTGTACCGTGCTGATTGTAGTTAAAGCAATGGGTTATTATTATAACTTTGATTTATTGTTAATGAACACTTTGGATATCTGTCGTACATATAAAAAAATCTCAATAATCTTGTGTCTGCGTGTAACTCTGTGGTGTTTAGAATAATGAGTGGAGAGATTAGAGAGTCACTGGTGGTAGTAATGGTGGTGGGAGGAGTACATGTGTACATTCAGCTGACAAATCCTAAATATCAGGGAATTCGTTGTTTGCTACCAACAATCAAGTAATAGTGTTTTCCTCATGATATACTAGTGTTTGAATAAGGCAAGAACAACAGTAGTTTGTGTGTTCAGAATAATATGGTACCATCATTGCCTATTTCGTTGGCTTCTCATCAGCTCAGGTGATAATAGTCGACGATGTTTGGGCATAAATAAATAAATTCTAATTACATGCCCAGAAATCGTCGAAGCATCTGAACAAGAAACTGACATATCAACCTGAGACGGAGCACTTCGGTCCAATCTATTGACGGAAAATCTAAACTTCAATTAAATAATTAATATGACCCGTTGCACAAGAAGCGGTTGGCTGTTGTGCCCCTGATGGTCTAGTGGATAACGCTTTGGTGTTTGATGAAACTATGGTCATTGGGTTCGAGCCTCGGTGGGAACACCAACACTGACTCACTGGGGAATGCAGGTACATCTACTAGCTGACGAGTCCCAAATAGAACAGGTGAAGTGCGCGTTATCCTGGTAGATTCCACTGCTAGTTACTTTAAAACTTTACATGATATTCAGTTGACAGAAGGTTGCGGACTTAGTGAACAGTGCTCAGAAAACTACGCTTATATATTTTTTACACAGGGAGTTCAAGTAAATGGTACCATCTTTTATTTCGTTGCCTTCTCGTCAGCTGCTTACATGGCAAAGACATTATTAAATATATCTACAACAACAATTTTAACATACTTGCACAGAGTTCAGTTTAAACAAAAATCAATCGATCAATATACTCATACACTAAAAATATATACATATATAAATGTGAAATATTAACCACTATTCCGAACAATAATAATCAAACACAATGGAAACTTTTGGCATTTCACATTCGGATGAAAGAGAGGTGAAATTATCCAGTTACCAGGGCAAAGAAAGGCTGATAACCGCTTCTTTCTGGACACATAAATCAGGTTTCAGGCGCTTGATGGAAATGGCTTCAGAAAACTTAAGGGGAATTGCGCTATTTTGCTTATTGATAATTTTGAACGACTTTTGGTCGTCCACCTCATGACCCGTGTCGAGGAGATGCCTGGTGATGGCACTGTTTAAAGCATTTGTTCCCTTTAGACGTAAGCTATTCGGTACACGTTTAGAAAATCGTAGATATGCCCTTCTTTCTGTCCTTTCAATGTAACTGCTCCCGCAGATACATGTAAATTTGTATACACAGTTGGAGGTAACATGATTATTATTTCTGAATGTATATTATCACATATTGATTTTTATTCAAATGTCTAATCGATTCCACATATATATAAATGAAGGAAAAAAGTTGTGTGAGTGGAGTAGCTTGATATGATTATAAGTGGCAATAATGAATTGTGCTCAAAACGTGGTCGCATCAGTTAATATTACTGTATAACACACTGTGTCATTTATCAAAATAAAATCTTATCCATAATGGAGTTGTGCTCTACCACGGTGACCAAGTTTTATACTTATATCAAGTCAAATTTATATATATATTCTAGCTTGTTACTTCTAAATCAAAAGAAAAATAGTTATTCTGATGAATGTTAATTATAAACTATTCATTCTTTAATGTTGTTCTTTTATTTATTTTTCTTCTTTTAACTCAGGTGAATTATTAGATTATGATACATTTGTGTACAGTGTCCTTGAATGTTTAACCAGTTTAATATCTTCAAAACCTAAAAAATCAGTGATTAAATATCTTGATGCCTTGTGCTTTGAAATATGTCAACTTGTTCAACTTCCAGAGAAAACGGTAGGTAATTCAATTATTGGTTTATGGGAATTTTATAGGCTTATAATAGGATTTCATCATGAAGTGAAATCGGTTAGAGAGAAGAATCAGTGGCTAGTGGTTGAGCTATATTGTGAGTTGAGAGAAGTTGGTATTCATGGACCATTGGGTGAGGTTCTGGTGGCTTAATGGTTTATCAGCCTTACTGGTAACCGGAAGGCTCTGGGTTCGAACCCCCCTCAGGGAAGAGTCCCAAACTAGGACGAAACAACTGTCCAGTACTCCCTGCCTGTTTTCCGTGTTATGCCTCCGCCGATATCAGCTCATAATATAAAAGGGTAATTTTTGTCTTGTCGTTGTTTTCTTAATTGTCGAACCTATTACTCTCTCGTTTAGTGATCACTCGATATCCTGCCCCTGAGTGAAGATCATAGGTCTGGACCAAACTCCATCTGTTGAGATTTAGATGGTCAAGTGGCATATTGTTAACACAGTTACATGAAAAATGCAAGAGGTGTTAGATTTTATTACGAACTGACACCGATCGGAGGTCACTGAAAATCAGGGAACACAGGTAGCTGTTATATTCTACTTTGCGACCCTTCAGCAGTGTGCACCCAGTACCCCAACGGGAATTGAATCTGCAACAATCAAGTTAGGAGACCAAGTTTCTTGACTGATTCTGCCATTTGTACCGCATTCACTGACCCATGAGGGACATGTGTATCTTCAAGGTTGCAGTTACGACTAGCTGATTCATTGGTGAGTGCCATCTAGCACGAAACCCAGGTCGAAAGCTTCCATCCGATCGCCTCTAAACCGACATGTCAACCTGATACTGCGAGCACTTCGGTCCAATCAATCGACGGGAAAATCTAAAATTCAGTTAAAGCTAAAGGGATCATTGAAAACCAGGGAGGGCACTTAACAGCTGTTTCGTCCTAGTCTGGAACTCTTTACCAATTCGCGCAAATGCTGGTTCGTATCGAAATCTGACAGTTGAAATTAATTCAAATCGGATATACTAAAGTTAATTTTGTTAATTGCTTATAACTTTTTAATTGGTTCAGTAAAGCTTGATGGAAACACTTACTGTTGTTGTGTGTATTGTATTTTAACTGGCAATGTAGCTAACTGCTCTTATTTATTCAAAATTCTATCAGACGTTTATCAGATGACATCAGTTCTGAAGTTTTCGATGTGAAATGATTGTGCGTCTTGACCACTTACTTCACTTGTTTGAGAAATTGCATCAGCCCTAATCGACTACTGATTGCTGATAAAAAAATCTCAGGATTTCATCATGAGCTGACATTAGTTAGAGAACCATTGGAAAACCTGGGAGTACTGGGCAGCTATTTCGTCCTAGTTTGGGACTCTTCAGCAATACGCACCCGCCGGGATTCAAGGACCATTGGATCGGGTCCCAGTGGCTTAATGGTGTACGAGCTCGCCTTGTAACCAGAAGGTCCTGGGTTCGAATCCCGATGTGTGCGTACTGATGAAGAGTCCCAAACTAGGACGAAACAGCTGTCCAGTACTCCCAGGTTTTCCAATGGTTCTCTAACCAATGTCAGCTCATGATGAAATCCTGAAACCAATCAAATCCCTACAAACCAACACTTGAAAAAAATCGCAGCCTGAATACAAAAGGCTTGTATGGTATTGATCAATTTGTGAAGATATTATAATCGGTTATCAATTGAACAACGCGTGTACTGTCCAGCCGTTTAAGTTCATCTTCCACTATGCTTGTTGGACATGGCCATTGAAATTGGAAGATATAAAGATGCTGTTTGTCTTCGACTCTCTAGGTGGTAAAACGTCGTGAGTAAAATTAAGCTATATAAGGAGGATAATTCCATCGATAATTTTATAAAGTTCAAACATTTGAAATGTCTGCAACATGTGCTTCGCATGCTAAACCGTCTCTTACCTAGCTGAACAATACTAGGTGAAATAGAATAAGGTTGGAAGAGATTTAAGGCTTGTTAATTCGAAATCTGGCACCAGTTCATAAAGTCTTTCACTGTTAGTTTCAACTGTTATATAGAGATGTGGACTGTCTGACTGGAGTCTCTGATATTCTGAGTATATAAGTAGTTGTAAACCAATCATGTCAAAGTGTTTTTCAACAAATTCAGCTCTGTGTGCTAAGTATATCCGGATACAGTTCTAATGTGCTGGTTCCAAAACGAGAGAAACAGTTGTCTGTTTGGTTTTAACATAGAACTTTGCACCGATGTGTAGGAGTTCGAGTTGCAACATTTCACTCAGCACATAAAGCCAGAGAAGAAGAAAGTAAAAAGAAACTCAAAATAGAGACAGCAAACAGAGATATGAGGCAAAAAGAATAATAATGTCGAAAAACCATGTAGTTTTATTGGATGTTATTAGTCATAAGGAGTAAATGCATCTGCACCAGTCATTGAGAATGATTTTGAGCCGACCGTATCACCGATTGTCTCCAGACAATAGTTTTTATTATCCCGACGACTCCAACCAGTCAGGAAGTCAGCACCTTCCTAATTGGCTTAAACTAACTGTTGTGAATTTCATTGACTAGTGTAGCTGTGTTTTGGTTTGACAGCCGCCGCTAGCTCTTTTCCAACCTGAAGGTATGTCAGCTAACATTGTCTATTGTTGAGGAAGGGGATGACTAGTTATGCATGCATAACACATTTCCTAACCATCTCAATCGATGCAGCTGCTTCACAGCCTTGTCTATTGATTTCCCTCCTGTCTGATGTTTAGATAATTTTAATCCCACTAACAAAGCTCGCTGATTGACGTGTGTATTCTATCGATAGCTCCTAAAAATGGATTCCCGTCTATCATGCACTTATAACGAATAAAAATTTCTTCTCATAGACAAGGGGTCATTTAAAAACTAGCTGGCAATAATTTCGATACTGGTTTATTTTCACTTCATATACATATATTTTTATTTTGTGATTTTGTAACAGTTGGAAACTTGGACCAGTAATATTTCTCATTACGTGAATGATTCTGAAGAGCTTCTTGGTTATTCTGTTCGTTTAGTCACTATGGATTTAATTAAAGTGAGTGTGAGGCCTATTTCCACCCCTCCTCCCCCCCCCATGTATTTCATTCATCCTAATCAATTCCAATAGTTTTATGGTTTATTATGATGCCAAAACTTTGGTATAAGTTGAATAATTTTTCATAAACTCTTTTTGGCCAAAAGAAAAACCAAACAAAAACAATAAGAATGTTTCTATGGCAAGAGTGAATTCACTGACTGCATATATATATATATATATAAGATGATAATTCACCTTGGTATTTAATCCTTAAGAATTTCCATATATATATCCATCTATAAATGAGTCAACAGTATCCATTGGATCTAAAAGTTCATTTTAGGTTTCTTTTTTATTGTTGATCAGTTTAATTTGTTTAGGAATTCTTTGAGCTTTTTAACGACATGTTTCTCAATGTCTTTTTATTGCTATTATTTTGTTTAAATGGTGATATCATTCAGTAGATTTTTAGAGATCTACTCTTCTGTATTTCTTTGAAACTAATACATAACTTTCAGTAGTGGATTGAAGAATTCATCAGTGGTTCAGTTGTAGAATGCTGTGCAGTTAGGCTGGAGAGGTTGGGTTCATTTCCCAGTTGACGTCCTTCTAAACCTCGCCTAGTTTACAAAGAAGTAGTAAACTTTGAGTTGAAGAACAACTGTTGGACGTGAGGCTAACAATATCACTACTAATAGAGCTTCAAAGCTTAAAGTCTTATATTGCAATCGAAACGTAAGGAATGTCTTCCAAAAGAATGGATATCCACGGAATTTCATCAAAATACATCTACCCTCAAGCCAACCTATCAAACCAAAAGCCCCCAAAGAAAGCACAAAGAAAATCTCCTTACCATACATAAAGGATATCTCAGAAATCACTACAAGACTCTTCAAACCTCTAGGGATTGACGTCGTACATAAACCAACAAAGTCACTTCACTCACTTCTATGCCAACCAGAAAAACTTAACAGTGAAAGAAGATGAAACCAACATCACCTACAAAATAAATTGTAACAACTGCGAAAAACACTACATTGGCCAAAGTGGACGTCCCCTTCGTCTTCGTATCCACGATCATAAGCTAGCCGTCTAAAGACATGATATCCACTCCGTCATATCACTACATACAGACAACCACGGATATCATTTCGACTGGGACAACGTTCACATACTAGACAGAGGAAACAACAAGAATGCTAGAGAATTTTTAGAAGCCAGCATGGTATTCCAGTGAATCATCAATCAATAAAAACATCGAGATAGAAAAAAATTATCAGCCGATAAGAAAGAAACCTCACACAAAAGGGGTCAAAGTTCAAGTCAAAGAAACAATCAGTACCAATACAAGTAGCCTAGAGTGTGAAAATACAAACAAAAACAACCAATCACGATGTTCAAGGTCACCATCAGGAGAGATGATTGATAAACTCGTGGTGAAATCTGAAAGCTCACTTCAATTTAAATTGAAGTATGCGCTGAAGGTATTGCCTAGTAGGGCGATGAAAGCTTGGCAAATTGACTGTCCAGCTCAGAGAACACAACCACATCAAAATCATCCACCTGAGCTACAAATTTTTTTTATCATATCTAAGCTTTGAGTTTCAAATACACATCTCCACGTTGTTTTATTCCCTGCTGTCCCCTTCAGCTAGCAACCTCAATGACTGCTCACAATCTCTCATCTCCTTCTCACCACATGGTCTCCTCCATGTCACCTTCGCACCGACCACTTACTCGTCGCCGCTTCCCATTCAGGTTCCACTCTAGCAATTTCCTGCTCTGCGCGCGATTTCATTCGACGGTCTTCTCAACGTATGCCCGATCCATCTCCTTTTTCGCCTACATAGTTGTCGAGCAGTTGACTCGTGCTTGTTCGTTTGTTCCAATGAAGAGTTTCTTGCCGCTCATTCTTCCTTCCTTCCTGACTGGCTGTTTGATCTTCAGTATGAATCCAACGGAGTCAGCTGTTGATCAATGTCTGTAGTTTGTTGCAAATGCTTTTTGTAGCGCGCACGCCAAGAACCGATTGACTGACTGACTTCACATCGGTGTTAAAAATCAGAATCTTGTTCTTTATGCAAAATATTTCCAAACTGGTACCAAGAACGTCAGGTCTCGGCATTTGTGTATGGCGAAGGCGCCGAACTCTGTACACAGAAAAAGTTTGTCCAGTCTCTTATTCTACCTTGGTCTTAACCTCTTCACTAGTCGTTCGTCGTAAAAAATTTCAATTTTTAGTTTGCTTTTACTTTAACAATTATTAATTCACTATTACCAATCTCTCATGTTCCTTTTGTACATTTTCTCATCCTCTTCACACTTGTTAAATTGACACTCAACTACCACCTTTATTCTCACTGAATAACGATTTTAACCTTATCAAATTTCTAACCCTTTCTTCCTTTGTGCCGTTGACTACCACATAATTTACAAATTTTATTTTTTACTTCTAAAGTCACTCCTGAGTAATTATATCAGTTATGTCACCCCCTATTACTCAATAATAGACTACTTTACGTTTTTGGTAAATATAAATACGACTGTACTGACTCTGAATATGATTTTGTCGATAAAGAAAAGTTTCTTCGCTGAATATATATATATATATATATATATATGTTGATGTCAAACATTTAAACGTATTTAGTTGAATGATTTGGACCTAGTTTTCTTACCAACAAGTACTGAAGCCCTCATGGAACTGGATAATACTACACCGTATAACTGTTAAAGGCTAATCCCCAAACATACACCATCAAACCTGATGTCAACCTACACGGTGACGTTATCGGAGGCAAATGATTCTACAGAGAGATAGTGACGATTGTCAAACACTTACAGACACCATATATCACCGATATATAGGCGTCAGTTTTTCACAGAGAAACTGCAAAAATAACCAAAGCGGTTGTAACCATCGCACAACTTCTTTGGTGGCCATACTCTCTGACATTGTGTTAAGAAACAGAGATGATCGCGTGTTTTTTGACATTTGACTGTCTCTGTTCTGCTCATCGCACCATTAGGAAAAATTTACTCAACATTCGGCAATACTAATTTTTGGAGGTTCTTTTGCCTGTTTAATCGCAAGTACATAGTTCTGTTAATCTAACAGTTAATCGTAATTACTCTAATAGTTAAACTTGATTTTATTTTGGTAAAACAAGTTCAATCTATCATCGGGATTAGTGGCATTGTACATCACTACAATCTGTTTGACTCTCATGAGATCTCAACAAATGGACATCAATGCGATCAAAGACAAACAAAAAATTTCGAACAAAAGCAACACGATGTTGTTAACAGCATTAATAGTTTTACTCTGCACAATAACTTTGTACACAATATTTAATTCTCAGAGTTTATTTTTGTTTTCCTTGCACAAAAACTTCAGATAATGAGAAATAATGAAATAATAATAATTATCAGGTGTTGGCTTGCAACGATTTGATCGGTTACAGGTTTGATCCTAAGCTGAAGTCAGTTGCTCACCTATTGCACTGAGCTATACATACACCTGGAGGGTCGTGGGTTTGAGCTCCGGTGAGTGAGTGCGTGCTGACGAAGAATCTCAAACCAGGGTGAAACAACTGTTCGATAGTTCTTGTGGCTAGTTTCTAATGGTTGTCTAACTGATGATACCAGCTTGTGATCAAACATGAAAATGATAATAGTCGACAATATGTCATTTTCATATCCAATGTTATCCATATTGTTTAATTACCTACGAAATCTTTCCCTTTCTTATAATTTCTTTCCAAAAAATGAAAAGGAATAGATCGATAATATCCTTTTTACAAGTTGGATCGCAAATTGACAAGAGAATTCTATGAGACTCTTCTATGAGTACACACCAGTGATCCTTCACCTAAGATATATTCAGGTTAAGAAGAGATGGCCTGTTTCTATTATTCAATCACTGTGACAGAAATTCATAACTCATGAATTCTAATTTCTTTCAAACCTGATCAAGATTAGCTATCCAGTACTCCTTGGTGGTTTTCAATGGTCCTCTAATTAACTAATGTTCACTCATGATAAAAAACTAACTGAAAATAATTTTTTCTGTTTAAACTTTACATGGATTTCAGGCTACAATTAGGTAAATTTTAAAAAAAAAAACCGGGTGAAAAACAAAACTGATGCCTTATTTCCGAGTAAGCAGTTTTGTTTGATCCCGAGGGAATAAATTAAGCTATCGTGTTTATGTGTGAATACATGTCAGCATCTCATTTAACACCCCTTGTCTTTTTGTTACTTCTTATTTCATTGTTGGTTTTATTTTTCTTGTTTTTGTTATTGTAGAAAATCGCATCCGATATTCATAATGGTACAGAATTTATTAATCATTCTGTGCGTAGAATGTTAACACTTTCAGAAAATTTACATAACAATAGTGTATCACACTGGTAAGTTGTAATATCTCTTTTGATTCGTAATAATAAGAGAAGATTTGTATGCTGTTCAGATGGATTTTTTTTCTTTTCATTTATTGGTTTTGTTCTCTTTGAACTTTAGCGCAAGTTTTAGTACACAAAAGGAGCTCATTTGATTTTTTTTAATGAATGATGATGATATAATTGTATCTTCCTTGACAACCATTGTTGTTAATTTACGTCTTTACTGATCATTTTTATTGGCTTGAAATTTGAACTTTCTTGTCACATGTGATTTATTTTTTTTTTATTAGTTGGTAAAATTTAGTCTATGGTAATGTGTATTTGTTAATCGCTGGCTGGTTCATTTGAGTGAGTACCAGGCTTCTCGAAATTCTCTGGCAGTAGTTTTGATGTTTCTTCTATTTAAAATTTCTGCATTCTTCCAGTTGAATTGGTGTACATAATTATCTACACGCCTCGATGTAGGGGTGTATTCCTAATAATTTCTTTGAATTATTACGAATGTATTATCAACATTTTTGATATAAGTATAAAACTTGGGCATTGCGAGAGAGTTTAACTCCATATGGATAAGATTTTATCTATAGGCTAAAAGACCCGGTGGACCCAATTAAACAAAATAATATAATTTACAAAGTACCTTGCAATGACTCTGAGTTGGATCAACTACATAGGTCAAACTAGTAGATTAGGAGTAGTCAGATTGTCCGAACATAAGAATTTAGCTAAGGTAAGAATAGTTGACCCTGAGAAGATAAGTAATTTAAAAAAAGCTCAGCAATCGCACCACACGCATTAACACAATAGGGTGGGAGAGGGTTAAGATTCTAAGAAATAATCTATGTAGGTGGAGAGAGATTGATTACTGAATCCGGCTTGGTTCATTGAGTCTACACCCAACACAACACATGCAACAGAAATGACTCAATGCAAATACCAGAAATATGGAAGATATTATTACCACTAGTCAGTCAAATCAGAGGAGGATAATATATAATCTCAAAATTCTATTTCAACTCAATTCATGTGCATCACAACATCCTAACAAGTTACTTATTATTATGATTATAAAAACACTCGTCTTATTTCCCATCTGAATGTAATTGATCAATAACACTCATATTATTATTATAATTTCTGAATGGTCTGGGGTTCGAGTCCACGCTGACGCACACCTGATATCTATGGTCGGCCTGCGAAATTTGGGCTACCGATATTCATGCTGAAAATTCCATGCTTGTACACAAAATACAGTGTGGAATCAAGCTGTAATCAAAAATCAAATCAAATCATGTACATTATCCTATATTGATTTATATTCAAATATCTAGTCAATTCCACACATGTATATAAATGAAGGAAACAGTTGTGTGAGTAACTTGATATGATTAGGAGCGATAGTTTGTGCTCGAAACGTCATCAGTTAATATTACTGTGTAAAATAGAATCTTATTCATAATGGAGTTATCAACACTTTTTTTTAAATTCCTGCTGGGGATCGAACCCGAACCACATGAGGCGTGGTTGGCGAGCTGGGCCACCGACGCACTGTCATCAACATAAGGTACTCATATTTTTGTTTTAATTATGCATAGCCTGCTAAGACGAACGCAACTAAATCAAAATCTTCTCTGTTTTTGTTATTTCAGTATTCATTTTTTGTTGTATGTATGTGTGTGTGGTGTGTCATTGAAGAATATGATGTCTGATTCATCCACGATTTCGTTTTAAATCTAGTCTCTATGTGAGTGGACAACACTATCAGAATGCACACAGTCAGAATACATGCGTCACATACCATTTCATAGTGGATACTTTTTGTGTTTATGGTGCTAATCACTTCGCCAAGCTGAATTAGGTGAAGCAGGACTTGAACCTAGGCATGGTTGAAACAATAAAGTATATCTTCAAACAGATTACAGTGTTCTTATGACAATTATAACGTTCTTGTCTGACCTACTGTCAGCTATTATTGAGTTTCTAATTTCATACTAATATTAAGGTATTAATAGTGTACACTACTCATATGAATAACATGAGGGTAACTGGGTTCCAACGATGTTGACCAATAAGTGGGTAGTGTTTATCAAGAAAGTCGAATTGTTGGTGTAAACATTGGATGGCTCTGTTGGCTACTTTTACACTTGAGCTCATAAATGATACGCCCAGTATCGACTCAGATCACAGAGTTGAATCAGTTCAGACTAACGAAACTGTGGCTAGCTATTTGAAAGAGCCAGTAAAATATAGAACTCAAGTCGCAATTTGTAAATTATACAGAGAATTGATTACAGTTTTCTTTTTTTTAATAACTAAAAGGATTCTGTTATGTACTCACAATCTGTCTCATTAGTCTGTTAGTTAGACAAAAAAAACAAATCACATATTTCATCATGAGTTGACACTAGAACCCCAGGTAACTGCCTACCTAAATTGGACCAGTCGCTGGTGAGCATCTCATTGATATTCAAGTAATGGTTTATAGGGATTTGATTGCTTGGTTACAGGATTTCATCATGAGGTGACATTGGATATAGGTAGGTAGTTACCTGGGGTTCTAGTGAGATGTCGTGACCAGCTTGAGTGTGAGGACAAATACTCGCCGATGACGTTGGCTAGTGCTTGTGCTATGTCGTGAACTGGCAAAAAGTTAGAATTCCTGAGCTGGCCATTGGATCGAGGCACAGTGGCTTAATGGTCTATGGACTCGTTGGCCTTGTAGCTGGAGGGTCCTGGGTTCGAACCCTGGTGGTGGGTGCGTACTTTTGAAGAGTCCCAAACTAGGATGAAACAACTGTCCAATACTCCCAGTGCTGGTTTCCAATGGTTCTCCAACCAATGTCAGCTCATGATGAAATCCCGTAGCCAATCAAATCTCTACGAACCAACACTTGAAAATCACATATTGGCGGATGATGGGCATTAACCAAACAGAATCCAGCATGCAAGTTAACGCCTGCTTTTCCTTTCACTTGTTTTGGAAATACTTGTCATGTTTCCAGTCTTACTGTGTGAGTCTTCCGAAAATTAATAGTTTCCAGTCAGGGAATAATCGACCAACAGATTATCAAACGTTCATATCATCGATTAGCATTCGTACTCAGACTTGGTAACATCATAACAGATTCGGATCGCAATCAATGATTTGTTTGATAGTGTAAAAGGCAATACAGAATACGAGAAAAATAATATATATATATATATATATGTATTATGATATAATATAATAGTGGTATTATTAGCGTCTGTCACCGGGGTGAATTTCTGGTAATATTTAAAAATATTAATTTTGAAATTGTAGATCATAAAGGCATATCTTCCCTTTTATTAGGTGATATGAACGAACTAATCTTCCCTAGTATAAATCAAGGATATCTGAGATGCCGATTTCACCTTACTTAGCACTCATCATCTGGATTTTCCAGCACTCTTAATGAGCGATTTTATCTCCCCCACTGTGACTTGAACCGTGTGTTCCCACCGTTTTAAACACACCAAAGCGTTATCCACTAGGACCATGAGTACCACCTGTTGTGTAACGGGGATCTCAGCTGTTATTCGTTTTTGCGATTAATTTTGTATTTCTAAAATGTTTGATCCCTGTCGACATATCGTTTCCTAGTACGGATACTTTGACATAATGTTTTATGATTCACTTGAAGTTGTTTTCGGCGAACGAAATTTATTTCCCTGAGTTCCGATTGGAAAATAGGGCTTCAGCAACACATTTCCACGTTGTTCTCTTCTCTGCTGTCCTTTTCAAATGGGTCCACAATTACCCATAGTCTCTCATCTCTTTTCACGATATCCTTCATGTCAATCTCACACCGACCACCCACTCATCGCTGCCCATTGACATACCACTCGAGTGATGACCTACACTGCGCGTTGTAGCATTCGACAGTCTTCTGAACGCATACCTGATCCGTCTCCATTCTTTTCTACATATATGTTGAGCAAAAGACTCCTGCTTGGTTCGTCACCTCCCAGCGTTTCTTGTTGCTAATTCTTATTGGCTGGCCGTCTGGCCATTTGATCTTAAATATGGAGCTAGTTAGGTGGGCAGTTGCTGATAAAAGTCTGTAACTAGTCGTAAATCCTTTTCATGACGCTAAGTATAAGTTTCTGAACCATATAGAAGAACTGACTGACTATCTTCACATTTGTGTTGAAAATCCGGATCTTATTCTTTACTTTGCTGAGTATGTGCAGAAGATTTCGAAACTGATTTGAAGGTGTACTTCGCCTTTCCAATGCTGACTAGCTTTCACATTGTCATTCGTTCCACCAGCCTGTGGTTGAAACAATGCTTCGTAGATAATTGCAGGAAGGAAGTAACCTCTTTCAAATCTCTCCCTCGTTGATGATGATTGGTGCTGACTGTTGCTGCTCTCTGTCTGGATTCAACAAAGGGCACCGAAGTGCAGCAGTTCGAGTTGCCACGTTCCAAATATTAAACAAAGGTAGGCAAGAAGATGAGTGAAGAGATTCAATAAAGTTTGACAAGTATAAGATTGAAACAGAATGGGTAATGGTAGAAAGGAATATGAAAGATTACAGAGACTGAATACATCTGCGCTGGCCATTGACAACGATTTTGAGCCATGTCACCTATTGTCTCCAGCCATTGATTCCTAGAGTCCCGAGGGCCCCAACCCAGGAGTCTGCATCTCCCTACCTGACTCAGTTTAACTGTCAAGGATTTCATGGATTGATGCCATGTTTTTGTTTGGCCACCACTTACTCTTTTCCAACCTGAACCTATATCAGCTAGTAATGCCCGTCGGGGGAGGCGGTGGTTAGGCATGCGCACCACGTGACCTAGCCATCTTGGTCTATGTAACTTTATAGCCTCGTCGATTGATTTTCCCTCTTTGCCCAACACTCTACGCCTAACGTCAACATTACTTACCTTATTAAACCACCTAACGTGAGACAGAGATCGCAGACATCTATGATCGAAAGCAGTCAACCTTTTCATGTCTTCAACGCGTATTGGCCATGTTTCAGAGCCATAGAGAAGGACGGAGCGAACTGATGAGCAGTACACACGTCCCTTGGTTGATAACCGGATGTCACGCCTACGCCAGAGATGGTGTAAGTCAGCGAAAGCAGCTCGAGCTTTTCGGATCCGTGCTGAGATTTCATCGCCAATCAGTCCGTTGGTGCTAATACAACTTCCCAAATAGGTGAAGTGGTCAACATGTTCTATCACTTCACTCCCTATCACTAAGTTAGGAGTTGACGTAGTCCAGTCCTGTAGCAGCATCTTACATTTTGCAGGGGCGAATCGCATGCCAAACATACGAAGATTGCTGCTCAAGGTGTTCAGTATCCTCCCCTAACAGGACTATGTCATCTGCATATTCTAAGTCCATAAGACTATTCCCTGGTAACAAGTCGATTCCTAAGTCATTACGTTCAGTTAAGGATACTTCCATTAGCATATCTATGATGAAGTTAAACAGAAATGGGGAAAGTGGACATCCCTGTCGGACACCACTGGTTGTTACCAATTCAGATGACAATTCCCCATAAGCCCTTACACGACTACGTGAGTTTGAATAGAGTGCCTTGATTAGTGCAATGTACTTTCTTGGCACTCCCTTCACAGTCAGACATTGCCATAGTACCTTTCGATCCACGGAGTCGAAGGCCGCCTTCAAGTCAAGAAATATGACAATTGTTGGACGCCGAAAAGTGTGTCTATGTTCTAGAATCTGTCGAAGAGTGAAGATATGATCTATGCACCCTCTACCTGGTCTAAAGCCTGCTTGATTTTCCCTTGTCTGTTCCTCCCGAGTTCTGCTTAGTCTATGCATGATTACTGAGCCTAGGATTTTAGAGACTATGTTCGTTAGGCTGATCCCCCTATGATTATCACACGAGGACTTGTTTCCCTTCTTGAATATCGGTATAATAAGTGACTTACCCCAGTCTGATGGAACTGTCTCTGATTCCCAGACTTTGCCTAGTACCTCAGTTAATCTACAAACTAGTATGTCACCCCCATATTTAAACACCTCCGGAATAATTCCGTCGGGTCCTGCCGCTTTGCCTCGTTTCAAATTACTGATAGCTTTTGTGACCTCACTTACAGACGGCGGACCAGTGTCTATATCCCATTCGGGTGTGGTGGATGGCGGGGAGGTTCAGTGTGGCTGTAGGCAAGTTAAATTGTTCCTCAAAGTGTTCTTTCCAGCGTTCAAGGCGTCTATCCTGAGAGCTAATTAAGGAGCCATTTTTCTCAGAAATAGTCTCACTTATGATTTGCCTTCTCCCACCCGTTTCCCTGATGAGTCTAAAGAGTTGCCTAGTGTTGCCTATCGCCGATGCTTTTTCCATCTCTTTCGCCTTTGTCACCCACCACTGTTCACGGTCGGGCTGTTGTTGGTTGGTTATCGTCATTACCTTCGTCGTCTCTATGTCCATCTGGGGTCCCATCTTCTCTGACTGCTTCTTCAGCCAGTTTTTTGCGTTTTCGCTTCCAAGTCTTCGAGCAACCCTGCTCCACAAAACCAATCAAATTGCTACAGAAACTTCGACACATAATGAAAAAATTTTTTTTCAAAACTGGTGAACGAAATGCTCATCCTTAATCTCACTGCTAGTAAATGTCAGCCGAAATCATCTCACATTAATCCTAAACCGATGTCATTGAAACGTCTGTACTAGTTAGAAGCTGACATTTCAACAGAGCTCCATCGTGTCGGTTCAGCATAACGCACTCATCGACGGGAAATACAAATTTATCTTATGAACCCATTTGCAATTATTATATGTATGTACTCTAGGTATTTTGTATTGTGTATTAATGCATTAATTAAAATAATGCTATTATTATTATTATTATTACTATTATCAAACTGTAGAATCATTTCTTCAATTATTATTATTTTATTCATTCTATTTTGAATAGGTGGAAAATACTTGAGGCGAGTCTTTATATATGCGGAAATTTAGCTTCAATATCAGTTAATATATTCGATTGCTGTACTTTCAAGAATACTTCTAAAGCGGATGTACTTGACTTCAATGTATTCTATACGCATTATTTAAAGCCAAGTCTAGAGCAAAAAGGTAAGGCACTACTGATTGGTCTACCGATCGGGGGGGGGGGAGATGTGTGATGGACAGTCTTCTTTCTTTTTCTATTATGTGTTGGAATAGTTTTTCTGGCAGTAATGACGTCTTCGTGCGTCGGTGGCATAGCGGTTAGGACGCTTACTGACCATCTACATGGTCCGGGGTTCGATTTCCGGCCGACGCACTCCTTTACCTCACTAAGCCAGAAATAATCTTGGTAAAGAGGAAAGGTTTGGCATAAGGCTAGCAACCTCATCCTGTAAAACTTAAACACTGCAACAGAACCTTCAAGCCACTAGCTTGAGGCCCTATGTTCCACTGGGAACGTGAAGGAAAAATTATTAATTAACGACGTCTTCAATGTGATAGTTTCTGTTGTTATCACTGTCGGAGGACTAGTTACATCTAACGGTGACACTAGTTGTCGTGTATGTCATGTGCTATGAATGATTGGTGTTTTTTTGTCAGCCTTAACACTTAGTCATAGTCACTTCAACGTCTGCTGGTAATTATTGATATTTGCCGTTACATCACAACACCTTTGTTAGAGTCTAAGAGATCATATAAACCACTGACTTCAAAACTCTGTCACATATAATATACCCATATGACTAAATGATTTTCTATGGTTTGGTTTGTAAGAGTTCGTTTTGTTTTTTTCTTACGAGTTGATCACGGATTGATATATCAGTTAGAGAACCATTGAAAACCAGCACTGGAGTACTGGACAGCTGTTTCATTGTAGTTTGGGAATCATCAGCAGTACGCACTCAATCAAACTTGTAGAAACAAATTTAATCCTTACAATTCAAATCTTTAAAATTAATCTGATCCTCATTAGTGGGTGACTTGCTACAGGACGGAGTTTCTTGGAGTTCTATTGAGAAGTCGTGACCAGTGGGGTCCATTCAGATGTCACGTGTGAGGATGGATGTCCCACCTACGAAAATGGTTGGGGTCGCGCTAAATCACGAATTGGAAGAATTTAGAATTCATGAGTTGGCCATTGAATCGGGTCCCAGTGGCTGAGTGGTCTACGAGCATGCCTTGTAACCGGAAGGTCCTGTATTCGAACTCTCTGTTCGGTGGGTGCGTAGTGGCGATGATTCTCGAACTAGGACGGAGGAAACAGCTGCCCAGTACTCCAGTGCTGATTTTCAATGGTTCTCTAACTGATATTGATTCGTGATCAACTTGTGAATGAGTTTCAACATAGAAGTGCAGCATAGTTCAAATTGCCAAACTCTATGTAGCACACAGTAGTAGAGAAAAGAGTTTCAAAAAATACGATTAAGCAGAAGTGTGTTAAGGCAGAAAGAATAATAACATGGAAAATCATCAGGCTTTAATGGATTTGGGGTAGATTGAAAAAAAAAGTGAATGCTGCACCTATGCACCATTGACATTGATTTTAAGGCATTATCATCAACAGTCTTAAATCATGTGGTCGAACTAACTGCCAAAGACTTCGCAAACTTCTCGAGAGGGTTGGTTTGGTTACTGGTGGTAACTCTTTACCAACCTAATCCTGTGTTAGGCAACAATGCTCGTTTAGGAATGGACAACATGTGTCCTACCTATTATACTCATGTACCATGCTGTAACAATAGCTAGTGATATTACTCTCTCAAATTCAAAATTCATACTTATCAGTGATAATTTTCTTTTCTCTATTTCGCGCAATTCCATCATCTTTTGGTTAAGCATATGATGAAAAGGCTTTCTTTCATAAGTGAAAAAAAAATCATGATGTACTCATTGATGTCAGTTTGGTATTCTACAATTTTATTTGGTCATTGTTTAGTCGACAATGCAATCAGGGAGAAGTATTTCGTCCAGTTTCTGACTCGTCACCTGGGTGTCATTTCAAAACAGTAAGGTTAATCAATGGAGAATACAAAGTAATTTTATTTCCAAAGATAGGTTTCGATGTAGTTGTATTCTCTGAGCTGGATGGTTAATTTGCGAATCTTTCATCGCCCTACTCGGCGACATCTTTAGCGCATACTTCAATTTGTTGAAGTGAGCCTTTAGATTTATCCACGAGTTTATTCATCATCTCTCCTGATGGTGACCTTGGACATGATTGGTTGTTTTACACACTCTAGGCTACTTGTATTGGTACTGGTTGTTTCTTTAACTTGAACTTTGACCCTTTTTGTGTGAGGTTTCTTTCTTACCGGTTAATAAATTTTGTCTATGTAAATGTGTCTATTAATTGACAATTCTCTGGAATACCGGGCTAATAAATATTCTCTAGCATTATCGGTGTTTACGCTGTCTTATATTTGAACATTGTCCCAGTCGATTTGATGTCTGTGGTTGTCTGTATACAGAGATATGAGGGAGTGGATGTCATGTCTTTTGACGGATAGTTTATATTCATGGATACGAAGACGAAGGGGACGTCCACTTTGGCCAATGTAGTGTTTTTCACAATTGTTACAATTTATTTTCTAGATGATGTTGGTTTTATCTTCTTTCGCTGTTGAGTTTTTTTGGCTGACATAGAAGTGAGTGAAGTGACTTTGTTGGTTTATGTACGACGTCAATTCCTAGAGGTTTAAAGAGTCTTGTAGTGATTTCTGAGATGTCCTTTATATATGGTTGAGCGATTTTCTTTGTGCTTTCTTTGGGGGCTTTTGGTTTGATAGGTTGGCTTGGGGGTATATGTCTCTTGATGAAATTCCGTGGATATCCATTCTTTTGGAAGAGGTCCATGAGATATCTTCCTTCAATTTTCCTTAACGTCAGAGTGCTGCAATGAGTCCTTGCACAACACATCCAGTACAAGTAACCTAGAAGGTGTGAAAACACACAAAAACAACCGATCACGTCCAAGGTCATCAGGAGACATGATTAATAAATTCGTGGAGAAATCTTAAAGCTCACTTCATGAAATTGAAGTATGCGCTAAAGATGTCGCCTAGTAGTGTGATGAAAGCTTCTCAAATTAACCATCCAGCTCAGAGAAGACAACCACATCGAAATCAACCACCTGAGCTACAAATCTTTTCTATCATATCTAAAGATAGGTTTTATGTAATCTATTAGAGAAGAAAGGTCCCATTAGGCTGAATAATCTACAAGCTCTCCTTGCAACCATAAAGTGTTGGATTTGGCCAAGACAAGCAAGGTTTAGGTGGGTGGGGTGGGGAATCGAACCCCAGACCACTTGCTTTGGCTGGAAGCTATACTATCATTGTACCACAAACGCACCTAAAAACGAGGACAGTCGTGTCGTCCTAGTTTAGGACTCATCAGTAGTAGGAAGTGAGACTAGCAACTTCACACCGTAAAATGAAACCCCAATGCTACTGAAACGTCAAAGCTTAAGCTTTAAGTCCTCTGTTCTACTTGAAATGCAAAAGAATAAAATCAATGATATTCATAGAAGAGGTTCCTTTAATTGTCTAAATAAAGAAAAGTTAAATACATTTGTTATCTTTATTATTTCTAAGAGAAAATGTTCGTTTCATTTTTATTTTCATTATTTGAACGCAATCTAGATTTCCCATTTCTGCAAGCCACAGCGCTTCGTTGTATGTCACACTTGTATGAAGCCAATATTTTAAATGAATCGCAGGCACAATGGTAAGAAGCTTTGTTTTCCCTCTCTCTCTCTCTCACATCATTATGTGCATTGTTATTTCAACCACCAAAGTAAGATATTGGTTTCATAATCTACCTTGTGTCAGCTTGGTTTTCTGTAGGCTTTTTCGCTTCTCACCAGCTGACGGAAGCTCGGTCGTCATTACTCTTGGTCACAATGCAAATCGAAGACGTGATATACACGAGTATTAAATCACACCTTACCCTATTTTTTTATTCCTTCCTTCCCCAGTGTAACACAGAATTTCAACTTTTGAAATTTCTACGGAGTTAGTGTTTTGTTTACTTCTTCTATGGGGTTTATTTTGCTAACCTCATGCTCAACCTTCCCTCTTTTCCTGACGTATAACGGCCTAATAAAGTAGGTCTAACTGACTGATTTCAACGTAGAGTTTTGCACCGATGTACATCAGCAGTTCAAGTCGCCACACTTCACCCAGTACACAAAGCCATAGAAGATAATGACGTAGGGTTGTTGTAAGTTTTAACTTAAAAAAATAGTAATTCCTTAAGCTCTAAAGTGATATATCCACGTCTAATTATAGTTCAAAAGCCTTATTGCCTATCGGATATGTGGTGTGCGCTACTGAAAAAAATTATAAGTAGTATATAATGCAGATATAAATATGTATATCAGCGTCAAGATCATTGAGTGGCGGAAAGATGAATTTAATTAACGATGCTTGAGAGACAACATGGGAAATATGAAAGAAAGACAAAGCAACACAATACCGAAGATATGAATGTAAATTGTGATTCTACTATAATGTCAGACGTGTTCTGTCTATATATCTGTGTACCGAGTTGCCAATAGAAAAGTCTGTTACCAATTCCTCTATCTTCTACCGTCGTAAGAAGTTTATCCACTACCCCCCCTTTATTTAAATGATCATCTGTTAACTGTTGGATTACGTTGTTTTTCCTTCTAGTGAGGTGGTAGTACTAGTATTTCTTCCTCTCATGTTGTTCCTCTTGCATATGTCACTCACTGCCTTCTACACAAGTCAGTTCTGTATGGAGTTAACACAGCTAATATCAGCATTGACCGTCAAAGATTTATTCGTTCCTTCAGTCCTAAGTGGAATATAGGATCTCCAAAGCACATTTTTTATTGTATAAGGTTCTCCAGGACTATCTACACAACCTTTGGTTTCCTCTTTATATGGTCTCCTCTCTTGGACACCCAACTTGTCCCTTAGTGGTCTCTTCAATGTCTCCTAAGTTCGCTCTCCGCTAGAGTTTTTTGTCTCTTATCCTTTTCGTTAGGTCATCTAATCGGAAGGGCAATTGCCTCCTCTTAAATCACTCTGAAATCAGTTTGGAAATCTACTGCTCGTAGCATACAGAATGAAATTTGAATTTCGACACCAATTTTAAGTTAGTCAGTCATTTCTTCTATACACTTCAGAAACTTGACTTATTATTATTGTTCCCTTGGGTTCCTAGTGGAACATAGGGCTTCAACTCCACGTCTCCACTTGCCACTTCTGTCTTCCTTCTACTGTACTTTTCACCTACATCCATTTTAGTCCATGCTCTTTCAACTCCTCCTCTTCACACAATCTCCTCCATGTCACCCTTGCACCGACGTCCCGCTCGTCTCTTCCCTTTCTGACTCCACTCGAGCAATGGCCTGACGCACGCGCGATATCACCCAGTGGCGGCCTCCTCAGCGAGTGTCCGATCCATCTCCACTTTCTCCTGCATATATCTTGGTTGGCGATTGGTTCTTGTTTTGTTTGTTTGTTCCCATAGTTTCTTGTTGGTGATTCTTTCCGGCCCCCCGGCCATCTGATCTTCAGTATAGAGCCAGCGAAGACAGTTGTTGGTTGATAAAGGTCTGGTCTCAACAGGCTGTTGGAAATATTCTTTGTGATCCGACCGCCAAGTTTCTGATCCGTATAGAAGAAATGACTGACTTGACGTTTGTTTGTATTGAAAATCCGACCGAATTTTGTTGTTGATGGTGGCTGAGTGACAGCGGAAGATTTCCAGATTGGTTTCAGGTTGATGAGTGAATGTGTTTCTCGCCCGCCTTCCCGATTCGATTCTCGGTTTGACATCCTCGTCAGTTCCGGCCGCCTGTAGTTGAGACAATGCTCCCTAGATCAGTGAGTGAATGAAGTAACCTCTTTCAAATCCCTCCCGTTAATGGTGATTGACGCTGGATGTTTCTGCAGCTGTTGTTGTTGGCAGGTTGGTTGGTTGGTTATTTACACAACCTCCGTCTTGTCTATGTTCACTTGGAATCCTGTCTTCTCTGGCTGCTTCTTCGACCAGTTTGTCGGTCGGTTTTCGCTTGTAAGTCTTCGATTTTGTGACAGTGACATCAAACATAAATCATCCACACGCTAAATCCAGGTCTTCTAGGTTCTTCACGTCGGTCGGTCCAGGATATCCCTGTCTTCTCGTTTCCCACTCACCGTCTGACGCATAATCCAGTCAGTCCAACACAATTAGGAATATCATTGGTGATAAGAAACTTGACTTGCATGTCACGGAAAAGCATATCGAACAGAGGACTTTGAAGAATTTTATCACCAACTACCTTCTCTGACTCCATATATATTCGAAATCAGATTGCAAGCCAGGAAGAAGAAATTGCAGTAAGAAACACTGGGAATTAATCAACCAATACCCGTCTATTGCTTAGTCAATTTACCGAAGACTTTGCTGAGGAGACCGTCGAATGACATCACGAGTAATGCAGGCCATTGCTTGAGTAGAACTGAGGTGGCAAACGACCAGTTAGCTTGGTAGTCTTAAGTTGGTATGGAGCAGATGAGAAACTCTGGGTAATCGTGGAGTCACTCAAAGAGGAGATGTTAAATCTCTTTGTTCCGCTGGGAACTCAAGAGAATAAGAATAATGTAATATATGAAGGCATTAGTCAAGGTAATTAACCCTAAGTTCCTATTATTTGCGAAGACACTCCGAATCGATGATTACTATGAACGGTTATCGACTTTAACTGTAAAACACAATGCCTTGTAACAAGTTGTATTGTTCGGCAATTAAAATCGGCATCGTTACAAGGTCTATAAACAAATGTTTTACAAGGCATGTATTGTACTTTTATTCGTATTCTTTCGTCTTCTTCCAACTTGTACACTACTGAATCATTCGCGCCTTCAAATTGCCCGCCAATGGTGACCAAGGTCAACGAACCAACGTTCAATTTTCACATTCATTTACAGCATCTGTTAATAAAAGTTTGCAGTAGTCAGTGGGAAATATTTTTGATGACACGTAGGCCAATTATCCGAACCCTATATATAAGATAAGCATGAATTCGGATCGTTTGTCTCCGTACTATATCCTGTGAATCTTCACACTTAATATTTCACAGTAATGAATACCTCTCTGCCTTGTTAGTTTCGCTTATTTCACTAACCTGTCTTGAACTTGGGAGAGGTGGGGTTATGTACGTCGGTGGCACATTGGTTAGGACTCTCGCCGACCATGCACATGGTCCGGGGTTCGAGCCCACGCCGGCGCACACCTGATATCTACGGTCGGCCTGCAAAATTTGGGCTACCGATATCCATGCTGAAAATTCCATACTTGTACCAAAAATACAGAGTGGAATCAAGCTGTAAATCAAAAATAAAAAAAATAAAATTTAGCGTTAGAATAGCGATCTAACCCGCGTAGATACTAACATTTCAAAGAAACGAATCTCTATTATCCATTCATCTGTCAGTCGTATGTTTCTTTCGTCCACTTCTTCTCTTTCTTCTTCTAGCCTTCCAAGTCTACTGGCCAATTCTATGCTAAATACACAATCATCTATATTAAGAATTTCTGCTATGAATTCACTTGATGTTCTGCGTACATTTAAAGGAACAAAACTTTCAACACTGAACACAATATCATCATCATCATTGACAACAACAACAACAGAGGCAGCAACATTATGGATACAGAATTACATCGTGCCCCAGTTACCAAATTTAATATCTAATCTATTAGAATGTTTATCTACATTTGGAGAATCAGTTCTAGATATTGGTTTATCAGGTTTATATGATTTATTATGTATTGATTTACATCAATTCACTCAATCGATTATTGGACAAATTATACCTATTATGGTTGGTTTATTTAAGCATTGTTTTGGTGGTAAGATATACTAGTTGTTGTTGTTGTTAATAATAATAATGATAATTTGCTTTATGCTAAAAGAGTACTTGTCATACAGAATGCAATTCTCTACAGTATTGCATCCAATTAGTACATTAACAATAAATAAAATTCTACATAGATTAAGCATAATCTCAGTTAGTTATGAAAACAACATATTGGCATGTCGGTAGCAACGTCAAAATTGAACAGAGTGTTTGAAGGTGCTAGAAAAGTAGGTTCTAGCATATTTACTGGCGTAAGCAGAAGAAAGAAACAAAGGAGCACGTAACAGAGAAAGAAAACGTTGTACCTATAAGTGATATGAGTTGGAAAGACGAAATCCAGTTGTTCTACTGACTATTTAATAAGTTATAGGTATAACGCCTAATGCTTTCTTCATCTCACAGAACACGAGCTAAGTAGGGTACGGTTGAGTTTTTGTACTTGCTAGTGCGAGCATATAGTTTTCTATATAGGCTTCTGGCTTTACCTGATGAGATACAAGGGGAGAGTTGTGAATGAACAGTGTGGTGTGACTTAGATAGAATGGATTAATTTAGCCCATTTTTCACATGAGTTCAAGTGCCTATCGACCGGAACATTATTAACAAGCTGGTTAAGTGGCACATTGTTTACCCTGCTGACAACCTTTAACGTCCTGCGTAATAAGGTGTAGTCTTTCTTCAGTAGCCCTGGAAAAACCAAGGGGGAACAATAGAGAATAATAGGCAGAATGCGAGAGTTAACGAAACGTAGGAGTAAGGGTTGGGTTATACCAGAATGTCTTAACTTCTTGATATAGAAGGTAAGACGGAATATTTTCTTAGAAATCATGAAGATATGAGACGATCATGAAAGATCAACAGATACAATGACACCAAGATATTTAATATCCGACTTGGTTTCTATTTCAGTGCCATCAATGTTGCACACCCTTGAGTGCTAACCGGTTTGTTTAGGTCAGATTTATGCCTAAAGGTTGTTGTTGTTGTTTTCTCCCTTAGTGTTTCATCACAATGATGTCATTCATTGAGGGTTTTTTGTTACGTTTTTGTATCATAACTACACTTATCACTACTATTAGTGTGGAGACGTGGCTAATTGTCTTAAGCGGTTACTCAGTTTTCAGTAAATGAGCTCAGGGAAGTTGAAATTCCGCTCCAGTTACATTAGTCTGAGCAGTCGACTGAAGAGTACCATGAGCCCCCACATAGAATACGAGCTTAGTACATATGAAAAAAAATTGTTTTGGGTAATTAAGTGCTAATTAACTTAAAGAGTACGTCATTTGGAAATGTCTGTAATCACTTTCTTCAATTGGTTCAAAGATCTGATCCAATAAAAAAAGTAAAGTAATCAACTGTTGATTCCTAGATATGTGTCTGATCCATTGGCATCTGCGATACACTGAACTTATAGCCAACTCTGAGTTCCGTTTCACGAACTTCACTCTAGATAACTGACTGATGAATAGTATCATCCGCGGTGCCACACGGTAATAAGTGTATGTCTCAGCCTTCATTACTCAGGTCTCTCGCATTGAGATCTAAGCTACAAATTTGTTAGTATGACTAGATAGAACTACAAATATCAATGCATAGAATTTAGTTTATAGCTTAATGAATTAGTAGTTAGACCAAACAACATTCGGCGAATTACTGCCAGTAAGGGAAGAAAGGACGAAATCGCAAAACATTCACCATGGATTACAATTCTTAGCCATATCCAATAAAGTTTCGAGCCACCGATTCGAGCTGTCTCTCGGATCCTAACGAGGGAGTTGTGATGTGCCAACCGATGCTAACCTAACACGCATATCCTTCACTCCATGGCGCCACATTATGAGCTGATCACCTCTCCGCGTTATTTATCCAATCTTAAGGCTAGCGAACAGAAACCGCTAAGGCAGCTTCTGGGACTACATTCGTAACACCATGTCCAAACCACCGAATCTGGTGTTTCCCAATGACGAGACTCAGTGAGTGGTGATCTCCACTGTGTCCAAATACATGCCACTGGACCTCAAAACTACTCACATGATGATATCATAGAACGTAAGCAATTCTACGGAGATAGTGATGATCGAATTCGTAAGGTTGCTGCATATCCTCAGCTTGGAGGGGACAGGTTTCACGGCACACCGAAGCATTGTATGGCCGGCTTTTGACACGTAGGTTGATTTCACGACGGCTCCAGAGATAACTCAAATTGGTGTATGCGACTCCAGCGTTCATGATACGGTTAAAAATTTCGTCTGTCACACCTCCGCACTGACTGGAGGAAAGGTTACCTCGTGAAACTACCAAAGAAGGGCGACTTAGGACTCTGCAAGAACTGGCGAGGAATCATGCCCCTGTCGACGCCAAGTAAAATCCTGAGTCGCATTATCCTGGAGAGATTAAAGGACACACTGGATACAGAACTCCGACCAGAACAAGCTGGATTCAGGAAAGGCAAATCATGTACTGACCAAATTGCAGCTCTACGCATCATCATCACAGAACAAAGCATGCAATGGCAATCAAACCTCTACCTCAACTTTATAGACTTCGAGAAGGCCTTCAACAGACAGCGTTGACCGCGAAGTAATTTGGAAACTACTCGAGTACTATGGCGTATCCCAAATATTCATCAACCTTATTCAACAGCTGTACGACAACGGCACATGTCAAGTGATCCACAACGGACAACCCAGCGAGGCGTTTGGAGTAAACACAGGAGTCAGACAAGGTTGCTGGCTTATTATCACCAATCAATAATATTCCTAATAGTGGTGGACTGACTGGATTATGCGTCAGACAGTGAGTGGGAAACGAGAAGACAGGGATATCCTGGACCGACCGACGTGAAGAACCTAGAAGACCTGGATTTAGCGTGTGGATGATTTATGTTTGATGTCACTGTCACAAAATCGAAGACTTACAAGCGAAAACCGACCGACAAACTGGTCGAAGAAGCAGCCAGAGAAGACAGGATTCCAAGTGAACATAGACAAGACGGAGGTTGTGTAAATAACCAACCAACCAACCTGCCAACAACAACAGCTGCAGAAACATCCAGCGTCAATCACCATTAACGGGAGGGATTTGAAAGAGGTTACTTCATTCACTCACTGATCTAGGGAGCATTGTCTCAACTACAGGCGGCCGGAACTGACGAGGATGTCAAACCGAGAATCGAATCGGGAAGGCGGGCGAGAAACACATTCACTCATCAACCTGAAACCAATCTGGAAATCTTCCGCTGTCACTCAGCCACCATCAACAACAAAATTCGGTCGGATTTTCAATACAAACAAACGTCAAGTCAGTCATTTCTTCTATACGGATCAGAAACTTGGCGGTCGGATCACAAAGAATATTTCCAACAGCCTGTTGAGACCAGACCTTTATCAACCAACAACTGTCTTCGCTGGCTCTATACTGAAGATCAGATGGCCGGGGGGCCGGAAAGAATCACCAACAAGAAACTATGGGAACAAACAAACAAAACAAGAACCAATCGCCAACCAAGATATATGCAGGAGAAAGTGGAGATGGATCGGACACTCGCTGAGGAGGCCGCCACTGGGTGATATCGCGCGTGCGTCAGGCCATTGCTCGAGTGGAGTCAGAAAGGGAAGAGACGAGCGGGACGTCGGTGCAAGAGTGACATGGAGGAGATTGTGTGAAGAGGAGGAGTTGAAAGAGCATGGACTAAAATGGATGTAGGTGAAAAGTACGGTAGAAGGAAGACAGAAGTGGCAAGTGGAGACGTGGAGTTGAAGCCCTATGTTCCACTAGGAACCCAATGGAGCATTGATAATAATATGACACCTCCGCAAACACTCACGCCCTACTCATATGTACGAACTTATTGACAACTTCAAGTGGTTCTCCTGCAAGAGTGAATGTAAGGACAGGCTGCTTTCAATCTTGTTACAGTACTTTGCACTTAAAGCTAGTAGTAATTTGGAGAGAGAGAGAGAAAGAGAAGTTTCAATATATGAGGGTAACAGCCCCAACTCAAAAAATAACACTACTACTGTAACAAATGAAGACAAGGGCCAGACAACAGATCGTGTATTGAGAAAATCATCGGATGTTTATAAATTTTTATGTACATTATTATTCGTTATTGTTAGCAGAGAAGCAGCGTCTTCTGATTGGTTGGTTTCTGTCTGGAAGTTATTCTATCATCTTTTTGTGTTGGTTTCTTTAAAGGTCAGACCATATATCTTCGAATTGTATCCGCCCACTCTAAGTCTGCTGTGATTGGTTGTTGAGTTCCTCAAGATTAGGCTATGTTCTTGTGTTTTTCTCATGACCGAGATTTGGGACGCAGACCCTGACGTAAATTACTGTCTACCAATCTCGGCTAGCAGACAGCTCCCACCACACCACTACTACTCAAACTATAAATCTTGAAGACCTCTGTTCTACTCAGAATACAGAAGACTGAAACATGTATATGTATCGAATGAGTGTGCATTGCAAAGAAAGAGTCCATGCTGTTGTTATTGTTATGTTCTCTGAACTGATTGCAAAGCTTTCATTATTCTTCTATACAATATCTTCAAGGTTTAATTCACTTCACATTATAGTAAGTATAGAAGATATTTTCTAGAAGGTCAGCACACAGAATACAACCACACCACTAAAACACTTACGTGCATTACAAATATCTCCTTTTTTTGTTTTTCATTTCTCCAGTTTCTGGTACTCTGTCACACTATATCAATATAATTCGCATTGTCTATAAGGCATCCTGTTCAAATAAAGAATCGATTGAAATGATTGAAAATGCATTTATGCCTACCTTGATAGGCTGTTTAGAAAATCACGAGACATCAGATTGTTGTAGTGTTGAAGTAAGAAATTTATTATTATTATTGAATATTATCATTGATATTATTATTATTCGCAATTATTAGTTTTCTATGAGCTGGTTGGTTTAGTTGCGGAGCTTTCGTCGTCCACCTTCTGGAAAACATCTCCTTTCAGCGCAGTATTTAGCATAAAGTGAGATGATTTAAATTTTTCATCAGTGATAGAATTGCGTCTCCTGATAACCATCTTTACATATGTACTGATCATTTTCCATTGATTTGGATTTTAAACTTTCTGGTCACCTGATTTACTTTTTATTAGTTGGTATATTTCGTCTGTATTAACGTGTTTGTTAATTGCTTACTCGTTTGAGTACCAGGCTTCTAGGAATTCCCTGGTGGCACTTTTGGTGTTTCCTCTGTCTAAGATTTCCACATTATCCCAATCAAACTGATGTCGATAATTGTCTATGTGCATTGATATGAAAAAATTTATATCGTGTCTTTTCATGGCTGATTTGTGTTCTTGGATTCTGATTCGAAGGGGACGCCCACTTTGGCCGATGTAATGTCTTTTACAGTTCATACAATTTATTTTATAAATGGTATTAATTTTCTCTTCTCTTTCTGTTGGATCATTCGGTTTGCATAATATTGAATTAAGCGAAAAGAATGGAAGAAAAATACCTACAAACGGTGTTCAAAAAGAATGGTTATCCACAAACTTTCGTCAAAAGTGTTTAAAATCGAATCACAACACCAAACGAGGAACCATCATCAAAGACCACAAGAAAATTCATCCTACCGTACATGAAAAATATCTCTGAAATAACAGCTAGAATACTGAAACTGTTTGATATAGATATAGCACACAAGTCAGTCAAATCGCCTAATTCGATATTATGCAAACCGAAAGATCCAACAGAAAAAGGAGAGAAAATTAACACCGTTTACAAAATAAATTGTATGAACTGTAACAGATATTACACATCAGTCAAAGTAGGCCACCCCTTCGAATCAGAATCCAAGATCACAAATTAACCGTGAAAAGACACGATATATATTCTTTCATATCAATGCACATAGACAATTATGGACATCGATTTGATTGGAATAATGTATTGTGTATTGTACCATACAAATCGTTGCGTGTGTGTATGTGTGATATGGTAGTAAATTATTCGACATGCGTAGTTTCTGTAAGCGTAATTGTCCAGTGGATTTAACTCTTACTTGTTCGTCTGGAAGCCTTGGACCTAAGCCTAGGTTTTGTGCTTGCACATGTCACTCACCGGTCAGCAAGGGGTACATTTGCCATTCTCATAGAATTCATGTACCTCCTATGATTTGAATCCGACTCTCCCAGTACTTCAAGTCAGAGACGTTGACACTGAGGTATTGGGGCTTGCGATTAATCTATTGTGTACGACTGTATTGGGTACTTTAATTGAACACTACTTAGCAACTAGCGATCTTGCGTCTAGTCCTTCGACTTTTTTGGTGCAGACTAGATAGATTCTGTCATCAGTCAAGTTTGCAATGTGGCCACCATACAACTGGGTGGCTTGTCATTACAGTGCACTCTGAATTATAGTTATTAGATAAGTGGAGGTAATTGGCAGGAACACCGCTTTCGTGCTTGTTGGCTCTCGTCAGCAACAATGCATAATGCCACCCCTTTGATGTCCAACAACCTAGCATGGTGACCACATTGCAAACTTGACTGGTGACAGAATTCAGTGTGCACCAAAATGTTAAAGGACTAGACACATGATCACAAGTTACTATCTAGTGTCCAATCAAAGTACCTAATACAGACACCTACACAATAGATTAATCGCGAGCCCGAATACCTCAGTGACAACGTCTCTGACTTGAAGTACTGGGAGAGTCGGATTCGAATCTTAGGCGATACATGAGTTCCATGAGAATGGCAAATGTACCTCTTGCTCACTGGTGAGTGACATGTGCAAACACAAAACCTAGGCCTAGGTCCACAGCTTCTAGCCGATTGCTCCCACCGGTCATTGTCCTCACTCCCGATTAGATGGACCCTACTGGTCATCACTCAAACTCCAGGCAACGTCGTCCTGTAACCCGCCAGTCACTAGTGAGCATTAGATTCATTTCCATGCGTTTGTTTGTATGGATTTGATTTGTTTCAAGTCTGGTCATGGATTGATATCAGTTAAAAAACCGTTGAACCACTTACCTTCATGTTGTTCTGTTAAGAAATTACAGTTTTAACCTGGGTCTTTTTTTATTTGTTAAAATGAAATCTTTAAACATATCTAAATTATCAATTATACTATCTATTCAGTATTAATAATAATAATATTTTTCTTTTCCCGTGATAGGCAGCTTTAAAAGTCTTCTGTGTATTAATTCATCCATCAGAATTTGAAATCAGTCCAGTTTTAATGCAACGAGTATTTCCAGCTGTAGTACATATCGCGATAACAAGTACAGAATCTGTTGTAATTTCGGTAAGTGTCATGTTATTGTACAGCTTTTCGTTTCTCCTTTCTTTAATGGCTTATTGTTGAAATTCGTTGTACAACAGAATTCCTTTTATTATTATTATTATTATTATTATTATTATTATTATTATTATTATTATTATTATTATTATTATTATTATTGATTTCCTCCATTACAAGTGGAATATCTGACCTCACTGATATATCTCCATTTTATTCGGTTGTGATTCCCATAACTTCCACATGCATCCACAAGCTTTCAGTTTCTCCTCACATGATGTCCTCCATGTCACATTCAGAGACCCACCCACGTTGTCTCCTGCTGTTTGAGTTCCACACTCAAGGGTCTACCTGGCGTGTGATGCCACTCAACAGTCTCTTCGGTATTTTGTCCAATCCATCCTTTCTTCTTGCTCTTGCATATTTTGTTGGGCAATAGACTCTTAGTTGACTTACCGCCTGCCAGACCTCTTCGTCGCTTGCTTAACTTTTCTTGCTGACCAATTCATCTTCAGTAATAGAAAGTAAGAAAAGGCAGGTGTTGATTGGATGCTGCAGTAGCCTTTTTTGGTAACACCTTGAGCATTCGAAATGTAAAGAAGTATTGATTCAAAATGGGTGTTAAAAAATCCGGATCTTATTTCTTGTCCTAAGTGATGTACTACACCAGAATCAGACATTGTATATAACTTCGTTTTCTTAACACATTTGTCTTTCATTGTGAGTACCTCATCCAGACAACTTCATATATTAGTACCTTATTTTGATCTCCTCTGACCCAAAGTCTGTTCACCAAAATAATCTTTCTTCAGCTAATGCTCCCAATCAAGGATGCCGATGGATCAGCATACATTATACATACCGTAAGCACAACAATCGATAATGAGCTACCTTCCATAAATAACACTCTGCTTCTAATATTTATCTATGACTTAACATATTGCTCCATTTAACGTGAATAAATGAAAAAGTTACATTCCTTTCTTTTTCACGTCCTTCTCTGTCTAAAACCAACAAAATCTCCATTGGTTACAGAATTTACTGGACATCTGTTTAACAGCCTATTTGTAGACCAAATGGGGATGGATACGGTTTTGAGATTTTTATATTATTATTTCCTTTAGTTCCTAGAGGAACATAGGGCTACAGCCTCACGTCTCCATTGCTTTCGGTTTTCCACCAACGTTTTCACTTGGCTCCACGTCTGCCTACATTCTTTCATCTCCTCTTCTCATGACTTACTCCATGTCACTCCAAACTCGCACTGACGACCAACTGGTCGTTTACCATTCGGGTTCTACTCGCGAAAGAGCCTGGTGTGTGATGTTACTTACTGATTTTCTCAGAGTATAGCCAATCCACCTCCATTTTATTTCCGGTATATGTGTTGCACAATTGGTTCCTGTTTAGTTTGCTCCCAGACATCCCTGTTACTGATCTTTTCTGGTCATCTGATCTTGAGTAGTATTGAGCGAATACAGGTGTTGATGAAGGTCTGTAGTTTGTTTGAGGTGCTCTTCATGACACGTTGAATTTCTGATCTGTTTAGTAAGTAGCACTGACTTCACGTTAAAGTTGAAAATCCCGATCTTAGCTTTCATGCTGAGTGCTATTTATCTCCTCCACACAGACTTGAGAGAAATGAAAGCTCGCCTTGCTTTCCCGATCCTCGCTGCTTTGATATCCTCATCAATTCCGCCGCCTGCTTCTAATGACTGCAAGACCGTCACTGTCCTGCTAGATATTACATCTTCGACACTAACTTCATGTGATGTTAACTTTCAGTGTTCTCCGTGGATGAAATATCTGTCATTGTTGGTACTGTTGTGTTGTACCGTCTTATTTTTTATTGACTGAAAAATATAATCTACGTTAATGATATCTGTTTAGTGTGTAAATTGATTTTATACTGAAATCTTAGGAATTCTTTGGCCTACTTTTTTTTCTTTGTTGCTTAAGATTGTTTACATTTTTGGGGTCATATAAAGAGAAAGGATGTTCGGCAAAAGGTTTAGTGTTTTCAACGGTATCATCCTAAAGCTTTACAATCCCATATATATATATAGTAAATTTTCTTGGCAACAAAAGTAATATTTTCAAAGATGTATCATTAGAGTTGTGAATTTTAGATAACAGTTTACGAAGAAAACCTTCTTCTTGACTGACTGACTGACTGACTTCGACTGACTTTCTCCACCAAAATCAATGATTCTCATGAACGTGAAGGATAAGTGCTATCCTCTGCTGCCTTCATCAATATGTATCTATCAATTCACCTGCTTGTGTGGAGCTAGGTATGTTTGGCCCCATGCCAAGCATTTATTATCCAAACGTTTAACCGAACAGTTAGTCTTTATCGTAAAGCACCTGATAAAATTTGGGGACCAAGCTAACCTACAAAACCAACTTAAAAGTTATTTACAGAGAATCTTATTAAAAGTATACGAACCAAAGGTTTTCAAACCGCAGAAGCAATAGTAATTCACATGTTAAATCCTAAATCCTGCATACGAAGGAAGTTTTTTTCGTCATTAAAGCCACAATGGACCGGTTGTCTCTTAACACCAAACACGTGATTTTTATTTCTTAGATAAAGCAATAAGAGGACGTAATTTGTCTGAATCGTGTAATGTATTTGCACAACACATTTCGAACAATCTGATCACACACGGACTTGTCATAGGAATATATATGAAATTAATAAAGAGGTAAGAGGTGAGAAAATAGACTTAAGTCAAGTTCAAAGGACATATTCAAGGTCAAGACAACAATGAAGACCACTAAACCAAATAGCAGAGGTAATAATACATCTGCTATGGTATCAAAACAAAATTTACCAAAGAAGGTTTAATGTGATGACCAATTGTTTTTTCTTCTAACTTATAAAGGTGGCTTAAACTTTCTAGTTGTTAGGACTTCCAAAAACTTCAGGATACGCCCCAAACACGTTTTATAGATATGTGATTGTACAACTTCAGAATGGTGTCGTCGAAAATTGAGTGAGTGAGTGAGTGAGTGAGTGAGTGAGTGAGTGAGTGAGTGAGTGAGTGCTAGGTAAGGAAAGGAAATCAATCGATGAGGCTGTGAAGCTACATCGATTGAGACGGTTAGAACATGTGTTACGTATGCCTAATCATCGCCTTCCTTGACAATGGGCAATGTTAACTGACTGACATAGGATCAGTGAGGTTGGAAAAGAGGCAGTGGTGGTCAAACCAAAATATGGCCTCATCCATCAGTCAATGAAATCCATAAGAGTTAGTTTAAACCACGTAGAAAGGTGTACACTTCCTGATTGGGGTCCTCTGGATGGTAAAAACAAATGGTTGGAGACAATCTGCGATATAGCTCAAAATCTTCCTTGTTAATGACTGGCGCAGATGCATCCACTCCTTGTGACTTATAATACCCAATGAAACAATATTGTTCTTCGAAATTACTATTCCTTTTGTGTCATATCTCTGTTTACTGTCTGTATTTTACATTTCTTCTAGTTTCTTTTCTTGCTTTGTGTGTTATATGGAGTGTGGCGACTTGAACTGTTGCATATCGGTGCGAAGTTCGATGTTGAAAACAAATAGACAGACATCTTCGAAAAGAGCAACTCTTCGCTGAACGTCGTTTTTTACATTTTTCTAGTCAGACTATGATGTTGTCCATATTTGTCCACGTTCATGTTTGCTCTATATATTTTAACGGCCAACATAATTATTGGTAATATGGTTGAGAATTTTCGGAATTCCTCAATTTGTTCGATTATATCGTGTGTTTTTTTGGCTTGCTCAAATGATCATTAATTAGGATTGTATTTATTTATTTCGTTATTTTAGGAATGTTGTGATGTGATCAGATGTTATCTAGCAGCTAGTCCTGAACAAATTCTTGAATGGCATGATGATGAAGGTGAGTGTAATTCTTCCTCTTTTTGCCTGTTTGTTTGTTTTACATATACGACTAACATTTATAACTCTTCAGTATTTCTGACTGTCTTGTTTCGCCCTACTCATACTGGTTTGGGATTTATGTATGCATCAGTTGCTCATTGGTAGAGTCCTGGTCATCCATGCACGTGGTCTGAGGTTCGAGTTCCGACCAGCGCACACCTATGCCTCCCTTTGCCGTTTATAATCCCGACAAAGAGAGAAGGTTGGGTGTGAGGCTAGCAACCCCACCCCGCATAAAAAACCACCCCTACGGAAACTTCAAAGCTCTAGCTTAAAGCACCCTATGCTCCATTCGGAATGAACAGGAATAAGGATAACAATACTAATTGTCTTAAGTAGATGGAATGTATGTGTTACTCCTTTCTTTCTTTGAGCAAAGTCTTATATCTTGCCGACTTCCGCAAATTTTTTAAATGCGGTGTATTACTTAAGTAAACGAATTAAGTGTACATATTTGGAATATTTTTTTGTGTTAATTTCCCCAATTTCTCACCTATTAAATGGTCTGCAATTTGCTTATTCGAAGTGTTTTGCAAACTTTTTAAACGATACTATAAGGCTTCAACTATTACACAGAAAGTTACGTTATATTGTTTGGAAAATAATATACGATTTAATGTATCAATCTGTTCGCTGTATTATTGCATGAATGTATAACAAGATGGCTGACTGACTGACGTAGGACTTTGCTCAGGTGTTCAGTAGTTCGACTTATCACACTGTGAGTAATAGAGAGGTTTCGCGTGCGTTTCGGATTGTGAGGGCGATTGTTACTTCCCGGCTGCCCACACCGTGGAAGTTGGTTGCGTGACCGCAGAGCCCAGGAGACAACTGCTTGAGGCCGGTCACACGCGGCCTGTTTTTGTTCGTTCTTTTTTGTTTGGTGTGCCTCAGTAGCATATTTATCACTCCTGCCCTGTGACACGGCAGCAGGAAGTGCGGTCGTTGTTAATCCGGACCACGGCCTATCCGGCATGAAATTTTGGGATTCTGTATTTATCATGATGTTGGATAGGGTAGCTGCTTTTTGTTTAACCTCTATCCAAACAACCTGCCTGGCATGGTAGGACCTCAAGAGACATAAGTCTCAGCCAGTATAGCTTGAATAGATCATTGCGGTGTTCAAACCCGACCACCACGTCAAGGTAGCAGCTTGTACTTTCTTCTCTTGCTTCGCGTGCTACACGGAGTGTGGCGACTTGAACTGCTGCACATTTGTGCAAAGTTCTATGTTGAAAACAGGCAGACAGACAGACTTATCACACTCCAGGTAGCACACAAAGCAAGAGAAAAGAGTAAAGATAGATTCAAAAGACAAATAATAAACAGGAATATAATGCGAAAAGAATGGTATTATGGAAGAACAATAGAATTTTATTGGATATGACAAAAAATCACAAAGAGTGAATGCATCTGCACCCGTCATTGACAACTATCACTTTTGGCCATATCACCAATTGTTTCCACTTTTCATTGATTCTTACTTACCATTCCAAGGACCCCAACCAGTCAGCAGTGTACACCTCCCTACGTGACCGGCTGGCTGGGCTAAACTAACTGTTGTGGATTTCATTGACATTCTGTAGCAGGATACTCTAAGAGTGGATTCTTTTCAACTGTCTGCAACCTGAACAGTATCAAAATATATAAATTACAAAACAGAGTTTGATCTCAATTCTATCACACTGACACAATGATTGAAAGTGTTAGTTGTATGGTATAAGTTGTTACATTATTATCCTAATCGAATTCAGTTTTTATACCAAACAAAGGACTGGACGCATGACATTACTATGTAGTGTCCAATCAAAATATTCATTACAGTCCTACAAGAAGTCAATCGTGAGACCAAATAGCTGATTGGTAATATCTCTAACTACGACATTGGGTGAGCTGGGTTCAAATCGTAGGAGGGGGACATATTCATTCGAAAATTGCAGATATGCCATGCTGATTGGTTAGTGCCAACAAACCTAGTTCAAGCAAGGCTTCCTATAGATTACCTCCAACCATCTAACAGGAATGCGAAGAATTATATGAATGTTTTAGATTCTTTTTTGTCCATTGACAAACTGACTTCAGTTTGGGAACCATTGGAAACCAGGGAGTACTGAGCAACTATTTCCCCCTTGTCTTAGGGACTCTTCATCAGTACGCACATCCATCACACCAAATTGGGGATCGAATTCAGTACCTTCATTTTATTACAAGGTAGGCCCGTTTAACCCTGAGTCTTTGAGACGGAATCCAATGATCCATGAATTTCAACTTCTGTTGATTCATATTCAAGCAATATCATCGTCGAGTAAACCCCGCTGGTCATGACTTCCCACTAGGCGACTCTAAGTAACTTGGTGGTCCTCTAGTAGTCATTCATTAGTGAGATATATTTCCGTTCCTTTTATTTGCTTATGTTTGTTTTTTTTCTTTTAAAAGAGTTTACTTTGCTTATTATTTCAGGAAATAATGGAGTTGGTTACATTCTGCATATAACATCTCGACTGTTGGATCCATCGAATCCTGTAGAATGGGCTATCCCAGCTGGTAAACTTGCCTATGCTATTCTATTGAGATTTAATGCACAACAATTAAGAGAGAATACTGATTTGTTATTGCGTGGTGTATTAGCTCGTCTTTGTACATTAATAAGTGAGTTGTGTTTTCTTTTTTCTTTTTTTTTTGGCTTTTTTTAAAACTCCTTACTGATTTCTCAGTTAGTATTATTATTTAGACAAATTATTTTTTCACTAACTTGATATCTTCATTCCTCTTTATGAGTTTGAATAAAGCAAGAACAACAATGGTTTGCTCAGAATAACCATGGTACCATCATTACTTATTTCTTTGGCTTCTTATCAGCTCAGTTGCTTATTATTTTTTTATTCCCTTAAGTTCCCAGTGGAACATAGGGCTTCAAGCTAGGGGCTTGAAGTTTCTGTAGCAGTGTTCATTTTTACAGGATGGTGTTGCTAGTCACATGCTCAACCTTTTCTCTTTACTAGCTTTTTATTATTGGCTTAGCGAGGTAAAAGAGTGTGTCGAGCGGGGATCTAACTCTGGACCATGTGCATGGTCGGCGAGCGTCCTAACCACTGTGCCACCGACGCACAAAATGCTTAGCTCGAGGCCTCGCCGAGACACGAACTCGGGACGCTGGACTCAGAGTCCATAGTGCTTACTGCTACACCACGAGGTCTCAGCTTCTTACACCCTAAATATATTACTAGGTGTATATAATATAATTATTCTCTTGGGTTGCGGGTTGAAAATAGGGCTTCAACCACACATCTCTACTTTCTTCCATCCTCTGCTGTCCCCCTCAGCCGCCTAGCTCCACGATTACCTGTAATCTCTCGTCTTTTCTCCTCCTGTCACGATTTCCTCTATTTCACCCCATCACCGACGACCCTCTCCTCGCCGCGTTGTTGCTTTTACACAGAACACTGGTTGTTTGAGGCGAATTGCAATAGCCTCTGGTTTTTGGAGCATGCGTGCTTCGATGATGACTTTAGCAATTTATTAGGCACCCGGTAGATGATGGAGAAGGATTCTTCCACACTGGCTGACTTTGTGGCAGTTTGGACCAGATGGTCCAATATCAAACTCTTAATGGTTTTCACTACACCTTTACTTAACCATACTGGTAGGTGTTCTCGAGCAAGCACGAGAAATCAAGTTCCTAGAGCAACGGCCAATAAAACTCGCCCCACTACAAGCGTAGTTAGAATTGGTAGATACAATTTGAAGTGGCCAGGCAAGTCCAGGTGCTTCATCTTTCAATCAAGGAATCACCATCGGTCGTGTAGAGAATAAGACGTGTAGTTTGCCAGCCTTAAAAGTTCTTTGAACTGATTTTCTTAATTTCTTCGTAATTATTTCACTTAGTATATCCTGTAGATAAGATTGAAACACATTATTACATAAATCTTGTAAAATGGAATAATTGATAATAATTTTTTTATTCATCAGGCGCGTAATCAACATTAAAGAATTAATTTAATCGAATTTATTTTTATTTACCAATAGACTTATCTTTACCTTTTCTTTTCTTTTTCTGTATCATGTTTTTGTTAGTATTCATATATATTTGTTATTGTTTTAAATCTACAACACCATGTGATTTATTCATTGATGGAAATAGAATTTCACGTTGTGAGTGCAGCAGACAACGTTAATCGTGCTTTTCGGTGGGGGTTTTTTTGTACGTTAGTCATATAGTTGCTTGCTATGTCAATACTTCATGTATGTATGAATTACTCAGGGTCACGAGATGCTGTATAGTTCATGTGATTCATATATTCTACACTTGCTCTCTCACTCTCTCCGTCTCTCTCTCTCCCTCATCTGTTAATCATGCCCCTTCAATGTTTTGACTACTTATTAATACTTTGTAGTAGTTGATTTATCTAATTAGTAATATTTTGATGAAGCTTTACTCGACCTAGGTGGCACTCACCAGTCAGCAAGGTGTATCCTTTCTGAGATTTGAACCTGCATCACCCAGTGCTCTCAGCAGTCAGAAACGTTACCAGTGAGCCTCCAACCATCTAATATCATCAAATCAATATGCACCATGATGGTGAGCTACCTAGAATGGTGGTAACATTGCAAACCTGACTGATAGAATTCAGTCTGCACCAAAGAATGGACTAGACACACATCACACTAGTTGCTGACTAGTCTCCAATGAAAGTATTCACTACATTCCTAATGAAGGTTAATCGCGAGCCCGAATAGTTGAGTGGGTAACATCTCTGATTGCTGACAGCACTGGGTGACTCGAACTCGAATCTCAGAAGGGACATGTAATTAGAATTCAATTGGTGGATGGTGACTATCAGTGGAATCCAGGATGCGTATTTTGTCCTATTTGGGACTCGTTATCTGGATGTGGGAATATCATCACTCACTGGGTAATGCAGGTACATCCAGATAACGAGTCCCAAATAGGACGAAACGCGCATCCTGGATTCCACTGTTTTCTTAGCTGCTTTTTGTGTAAATAGATTAATCAGCCTTAAACTAAACTAAAAATTGCATGAACGTGGTGTGATTTTCTTAGAGTTTTAATAATTTATTTTATTGAAATTTTAACATAACATCATGTGATTGTTAAGAAAGTATATTTCTATACTTTCATATTAATCAGAGGAAAAACCAAATAAACAAATAAAAATGGCTTGCTAAAGATGGACTCTTAGCTTTATTTGTTTACCTAACAAGTGGAACATAGTGGGAGGTGGGTGTTATGTTACAAGTTAACGCTATGAAATTTCACTAGCCTTGGGGTTGCTGTGTCTCGCATCCAACTTACTCTCTTTATCAGAGCTTACTTCCTGTTTAGCAATATTTGGGAGTGATTCGGCATGGAGAATCACACCTGAACCTCCTGCGTAGCTGCTGATCATTTAACCAGTGTACCAATGACACACTGTCTCTCTCTCTCTCTCTCTGTGGTCATCTTTTGTTCTTTTGCGTTCAGTGACCCGGAACAGTCTATGAGTCACACATACACACTCACACACTGTTTGAGTTCTGATGATGCCACCCAGTTATCCAGGATGAATTAAGTAAGGCGAGATTCGAATCCATTACTCAGTGGCTGGCTGTAAGTTGAATGATTAACATAATGACCTATATCTCTCGTCCTATGTAACATCGTTTCTTTTTTTGTTTTTTTCTTACCCTGTTGCCGCTTCGATAGTATTTAAGGAATGTGAGTTACACTGTCTGTCATTCTGTGTCTGATCCATCCACTTCTAGTGATGATTGAAATAGTTGGCGGATCTACTAGTTGAAAAAAAAATCGAATAATTAAGCTATTGTGAGGCATATTTTTTGCATTCAACACTGTGGTATTGTTATTACATTATTATAGGTGGAAATTGGTGTTTTAATGAGTGGTGGGTTTCATCTTAAGACAGAATGTCTAACGAATTTATTACTATGCTACTACGATTATATTCAATGTTATCATCGGGGAACATTGGATAGTTGTTTCATCCTTAGTTTAAGACATATTAGCAATATGCTTCCACAGCCTTCTCGGAGTCGAACCTAGGAGCTTCAGGTCACAACATCATGCTCACCGACCATTAGGGTCATTTCTGTAACGGTTGGACTGATTTTCTGGCGGGATAGTGTTGCTAGCCTCACACCCAACCTCTGCTGTCTTAGTCGGGCTTAGAATCAGCTGGCAAACTAGACAAGGCTATATGTATGGGATTTTTTTTTAATTAACAATAATGTGAATTGCAGCAAAGTATTTGGGGTGGGGTGGGGATTATAATCATAGTTAAAGAAAATCAAGTGTTGAAAAAGGTGACGCAATATATATGCATATATAAAATAGTTCGCAGAATGTAAAGATCTTTGAAAAGAGGATAAAGTTAGTCGAGAATAATAGGTTTAGTAGACAAATAACACATTACGTAATAAGGTGACGGATGAGATAATACTGGGAATCGTTTCAAAATGACAAGAATAATATTAATTGCCAGCGTCGGAAATAACCCCTTATCATCAACTATCGACCACCTCCATCTCTACAGGAGATACATTGATGATACTTTCATCATTTCTAATGATCACCTGAACCTTGGAAACTTACTTCAAACATTCAACAATGCCCACCAAAACATCTACTCTTGAAGCAGAATTCGACGGAATGTTCCACTTCCTCGACGTCCATCTGACAAGAAACACCGACAACTCTCTGAAAAGGTCCAAATGCAAAAAAGCCCACAATGACTGGACAATTCGTCAAATTCCAAAGCTTCCTGTCCCTAAACAGAAAGAGAAACCTGATATACACCCTTTCCTCGAGGATTCGGAAGATATGCAGCGAGGAGGGTGATTGATGAAGAACTGAGTAATATCTCCGAAGAACCCTGATGGAAAACGGTTTTCCGCTTAGGTTCATAGATAAGAACCTCGAATCAAAGAAGACTTCGAAACAAGTTCAATCCATTCCGTAGAAGATACTTCTGCTTAATCTTGAATTCAAAGGTGACATTGTGAAGCAGAAATCCTTCGTAAACGCCTCTGTCAATTTCTGAGGAAGACATACTTCGCCACGCCAACTTGAATAACGCGCTCGTGAATAATAATTGCAATCGGAATAATAAGGAATAAGCAGAATCCTAATTAAATAAGTCCAAGTTTTGAAATGGTGTGACTACAAGGATAATTTAACGTAGGTTAGTTTCAGACCGCGTGAAAGTGATTGGACAAATTCCTCTCTGTATACAGTTATGGGATTGTTTCCCCACTGGGCCCCCCCTCTATTTCAATGGTCAAAGCTTTCACAATACGAATGAGTTGCATACGTCATGATTTTAGCTGATTAGAGAATAAGATCCTCAAGGTGTCTTCTTAAAACTCAATTTTCCACCTGTTCGTAATCATGAAGGGTGGTGATATAAATTTTTGCACCTTTTTGTATAAAATAAAATTATTTTGAAGTTTCTAATAAGTTTTACTGTCTAAGCGTGTTGCCTTTCACTAATGAATTTTTTCAGTGGTAGTGTTTTTTTTATTTAATCAACATACAGGATGTGTTTTTGGTTTCTACAATCAAGGGTGAAAAACTAATTAACATCTGTCTGTCTGCCTGTTGAATAAAATGATGATAAATAGAAAATCAATTT